GGGGGGGGGGGGGGGGGGGGTCTCGAGTCACCTTCCTTCGTCTGGGAATTGCGATGTTTTGTCACTTCGACTTGACAGACACAAAAGTGCAACGATCGACCCGTGAGCATTTAACGTAGCACATGTCTGGAAAAAAAGTTTAACGTGATTTCTCAGACTGGAATTATGAACATTTCACTATTTTTTGATGAAACAAAACTTTGAATATGCTAGATAAGACTCTTCGCAAAACTGTACACGTCATTTTAGGGCCGCATCAATGATTTTTAGAAGTTAAGTAGACATTAATTAATAACGAAAATTCCAGTATTTTATAACATGAAGTCAATTTGACTCACGTTTCCTGCAATTCCTGATCCTATGGGCTGATTATTGAAATGGGCCTGTTGCAAACTTTTGCTAGAGCAAAAATAAGAGTTGTTTCTTGTAGATAATGCCTCAAAAATCACGATGAGCGCATCGGCAAAGTCTGAAATGCACTCATAACTTCACAATCTGCGTAAGAAATTTGCGTTTTTTTAAGCTTCCCGCTTCAAAAACGATACTACGGCACAGGTGAACATTTTGTTAGAGGAGTCGCTCCATCGTCGGCGATATTCATCATGGCCGACGCTTGCGCGCAGTTCCGCGCGTAATTCGAGGAGAGTTCAAGGTCAATCAATGCGGGCGTGGAAAATATGAACGTTAACACACCGATTGTTATCTTGTCTAATCCAGTTCAGATGTTATCTCGTCCCATCAAACGTGTTTTGGTGGATTGGCGTCGGCCATGATGATTATCGCCGACGATGGAACGACTCCTCTTACAAAATGTTCACCTGTGCTGTAGTATCGTTTTTGAAGCGGGAAGCTCAAAAAACCGCAAATTTCTTACGCAGATTGTGAAGTTATGAGTGCATTTCAGACTTTGCCGATGCGCTCATCGTGATTTTTGAGGCATTATCTATAAGAAACAACTCTTATTTTTGCTCTAGCAAAAGTTTGCAACAGGCCCATTGAAAAGCATAACTGTAGACGAGGGAGACAAGGGGAAAATAGAGCGATCCTATTGGTGGGAGCGGGTGGTTGCTTCTGACAAAGAAGCGTACGTAATAGATTAACTATCGACAACCCACGAGGGACCCTATAGTCAAGTCATCATTTTTCACCTCAGTGTGTTCACCTACCCGTATTTATCAACAGGATCACTCTATTTTCCCCCTTGTCTCCCATGTCTTTTGCTTTGTATGTCAATTTTACTATTCGGCCCACTGTTTTTTTCGTTGTTGACTCAGGGAAACAGAGACAAAATAGTTGCAGGAGCCGCAAGTCAAATTGATAAGTTTCATCTAATTAAAATGAACAAGACATTTTTTTTACTATGTACAGTATTTACAAGTGTTACCTTAAAATTTGATAAATAAATATTGTCTGGTACAATTTAAACATAAGCTGGTTCCATTTTTTTACGTGTCCAAAATATTTTAAACACCAGAGCTTTCCGTTAAAATCTTCAGAATTTGATCAACTGACTCAAAACTGACTTGACTCAATCCACTGTGCGGCGGTCGGCGTGAAACGCATAGCGCCTACAAGACTGAAGGCATACTTCACGCATTGCGCCAAACACAGTGCGGTCGGCGCGGCGCGGCGGAGGAAGTTAAAATTATTAAACCACATTTACGTTTGTTCTTGCATGATTTTTACGTTCATTTCTTACAAATGGAAGGCCTTGTTCACACAGAAATGGGTTTACGAAACTTGACTTTCGCGCAAAGTTCCGTGAACTTTTGCTAGTATTGCTGAAAGGGCTTTCGCAAAAAATGTGCCTAACACGAGTAAACGCATCTTATGCACCCCTCCCCCTCCGGCACGTTTAATTGATGGTTTTTATTGATGCTATTCGAAACGAACGAGAAGGGGGCGGCAAAATACAGGCGGCCAATGGGCAGCAAGTAGGTAAAACCGGCCCTGATCGATTTTTAATTTATTTTTATTGAACGAGAGCGAAGTTTTCCACTCCTCCCCCTCTTTTCTACGATGCTCAGCTCTTTCCAAAATAATTTAAGATAAGAAAATGTATAGTTGCAAGATGCAACAATTAATTGTATGAGAGGTATTTCACAATGGTCTCTCGGTATGCATGTGACATTTTCATGCTGCATAGGTTTCTCATTATATTCTCATCTCACTGAAAATGTTGGTGCGTGCCTGTTCATTGGCGGATCTGTCAGGTTGGCCACATTGTTTCTTCTGAATTTAAACAAATGGACATAAATCGATTCTAGAGGCTCCGTCAAGACTCGATATTCAGTAGTTGTCAATTGTTATTTTGGCGAAAAAACCTATTTAAAAAATGTCGCATTCCTGTTTTGCACAATAAACTCTCTTTTAAACTAGTTAAACTTTCAAGAAATGTTTATCAGTGTTTCAAGTCGTAATTAATATTATATCAATAATGTTGTGTGCGGTTATAATAAATCGTTTAAAAGAATGGCAACTGCACTGGCAAAGTGGGTATTTTTCGAATCTTCCATTTTTGGTTCTCAAACTTTGCATTGCTGCCGAAGTAACAATTTTTAGAGATTGTCTTTGCGCCACACATGTAGTCATCCAATTGTAAGCTGTGATGTAATCACCACTTATTCCCCCTCCCTCCCCCCGATTGTTTTAAGAAAAGTTTCAAAACGAGGCTCGTTACGTCCCTCCTGTCTTGGCTGTGTGGCTCACGTAGCCCTCGATCCACCACTAAAAATGAAATAGTTAGAACCAATACATACTGGAATTAAAGCAAAGGAAAGAACAAGCGTTGATGACGGCGCAGAGATACAACTATTCGTACTTGATGGATGTCCGTGTTGCATCTGCAAAATTGAGGGCGCGATGGCACGAGGCGTGAACTCGCAATTCTCCGCTCTATGCTGCTGATGAGGTGTCGCTCTGGTTCGGGAGAAAAGTTAAGCAAAAGTTAAGCTAAAAGAAGCGTTACTCTTTCTGTTTTATGAGAACAGCAGGAAGCTCCTCGCATGTGCCATCAAGTGTTGTTACGATAAAGAAACAGTTTCTGCGCTACCAAAATTTAGAAAAAAATTTCTTCATGAAAATTTAATGAAGGGAGGTATTTCGGTTCTCTTACTTCTCTTACGCTGAGTAGCAAGATGCACAATTATAGCAACACCGGACGGTCCTCGCCGGATGCGACACTTCAAAATTTCCGCCGCAATTTTAATTTTTTACGGAGAAATTGTTCAACGAAGCTGTCCGAAAATTTCATTGAATTTTCTGTGTGCTTCCGACAAAATCCAGTGAAACTTTCAAACACATTCAACCGACAATTTCTCAGAAAAAACATAAAATGACGGCGAGAATTTTGAAACGTCGCATGGCGCTTGTGATACTTTGGCCGGAAAGTGGCGAGATATTGAATTTCCACTCCTCTGCTATTAAAGGCGAAAAACTCGTGTTTCAAATGTACCATTTAAGAAACCTCCGATCAGTTTTTATTCTCTGCAAAAAATAATGGGCAAAGTTTCATCAAAGTTTTCCATGATTTATTTAGATTAGGTGAACAAAAAATTACAGAGAGTTAAGTAAAAACTGTTGGTTACTTTTCCTTCAAAAAATAAAACATGATATGAGACCTACACCGTCGCGATCTGAAAAACGCATTCTTCAATTTCAGCCATCAATACGTGACCATCGACGGGGAAGGGACTTTGATCGATCGCCGGTAACAAAAAAAATTGTAGAGCGATTTCTGTAGAGTTTGGGTGAAAAAGCAGATTCCAAGACTCGTACTTTAAACTTGAAAGAATGACCATTTCATTCCTCGCACCACATTGGCGGATCTAGCAATTTGGTAACACCGGATTTCCTCCATTTAAACCTATGGAAATGTATCGATTCTTGGAGGGGCCAAGTGCTCCAACGAGAATCGATTATTTAGCGTAGGTTTAAATGGAGGAATTCAGTGTTGCCAAATCGCTAGATCCGCCTCTGTCGCACTTAACGTTCGAGTTGTTTGGATCAGATTAGGTTTTTAGGTATTTTTGCCGTCTCTCAAAGTATTTTACTGAAGACATAAATAACGATGTAAAAACTGTAAAAACGCGTACCTACGCAGTTGGCGATGTTTTAAATGTCTATATAGGTACTCTAATTTGATTGTTAAAGAGGAAAATTTTCCCTTTTTTTGGTGATAAATTGTCAGTAGATTATTTCTGAATGGTAAATGACAGGGCCGGATTTACCTACTTGCCGCCCCCTTCTCATTCGTTTTGAAACATCGATAAAAACCATCAAGTGAACGTGCCGGAGGGGGAGGGGTGCATAAGACGCGTTTACCTACTCGTGTTGGATACATTCTTTGCGAAAGCCCTGTCAACACTACTAGCAAAATTTCACAGAACTTTGCGGAAAAATTAAGTTCCGTAAACCTATCTCTATGTGGACAAGGTCCTCCATTTATAAAAAATAAACCAAAACATTTTGAAAGAACAAACATAAATGTTTTAGTAATTTTAACTTCCGCCGCTGCGCCGCGCCGCGCTGATCGCACTGTGATTGGCGCAATGCGTGAAGAATTCCTGCAGTCTTGTAGGCGCTACACGTTTCACGCCAACCGCTCCTGACCGCACTGTGTTTGGCGCAATGGGTGAAGTATTCATGCAGTCTTGTAGGCGCTAATATGTGTTACATGCCAATCGCCGCGCCAAGGGCTTGTCTTTTTCATCTCAAGTCTTCGTCATCGAATATTCCTCTCTGCGTTGAGCTCCAGGCCAAATTGCGTGTTTAGTTCCTGCTCTCTTCACACTACTAATTAAAGATGTTATTTCTTATTGTATCACCGAAAAACGACAAAATAAGAAATTACTATACTCTCAGGAAAGATAGATTTCGGCCCCTATTCTCACTGATAATTTTTTTTCTGAATCCGATTTTTTTATACCTACATTTAAAAAAATGCAAAATTTGCCGCCCTCTAAATTTGCCGCCATGGGCCGCGGCCCATGTGGCCACCCCCTTAATCCGGCCCTGGATGAAACATCTCATCAAATGTTTTATCATCCATTGAAATATAGTTTGGAACATGATAGAAAATCTGTAAGAGGAAAATTTTACCCTTTTTGGGGGGAAGTAAATTGTTAGCAGATTATTCTTGAATGCTAAATGAAACACATCATGAAATGATTGATCATCTGTTGAAACAGTAAAAAATGGCAGAAAATGTGCATCATGAATCGCAAATGCGCATTTTTAATTAAATCGCAATGCATATCAGTTTGAGAAGAAAAAGCATTTCCGTATTCCTTTATTACATTTCATGATTTGTAAGTTTCGTGTTATGGATTCTGCCGTGCTACCAGTGGTTGGAAACAAAACGCGGGTAAAATTGAAAGCTCTCGCTGACTGCAGGCCTATGACCCAACGTTGTAAGGTTTTGCGATAAAATGGGGCTATTACGCGTTTCATTCATCCAAATGGGAAAAAGTGTTTATTTCTAGCACTTGCTGGCATCATTAATATGACGCACATGAGAGCACGCACACTGAAGCAATCTTTTTGCTGTTTGGACACTCACAAAAACAGGCGGAATCGCTCTCCCAGCTCTCAATCGGGAGAGATTGAAAATTTTATCCACTCCTCCCTTCATCGAGTAGTTTTCGGCAAAAAATCCTGTACGTGACGACGTGACGTATTTCCAGGAAAGCACCACCTCGCAGCAGAAAAACCAAAAAAATTGTTTTTAAACCGAAGAGTGTTACACGCAACTGAAAACACGCAAGCAGACTTTGTAAAAAAAAAGTGTGACTCATGCCCCGTGAGTAAGTTGGGAGTCATTCAAGTCAGCCTGTCAAACGCGTTTGGAAAAAAAAATAAAAAAGTATAGAAAACCCCAAACATAACTTTCCAAGTGAACTTTTTTGAAATTGCGAGGATGTGTGAAGAAGAAGATGCGAGGTTCAAAAGAACCACTATGCAGTTAAATGTAGTCTCATTTTTATGTTTTTTCACCTTGAGGATCTATTTGCCCGTTTCCATTGCAGTTGTTTTCATTTTCTCTAGAGGTATCCCAAATGGGTGCCTAGTTCTGATATCTATCATAGGATAAAAAAAAAATATATCGATGGCTAAAGTATGAAATCACGTATCTCCATTCTCCATTGCTGTGATTCAAAATCTCTGATCTTATTTTACTTATTTGTAGGAAAATAAACCAACTTTACAGCTCGAAATCCACCCAGAATATTCCACTAACAGAGAGGGAAAATCAGGGAAGTTTTCAAGAAATATCCAAGTTGACAAGTTTTCCGATGGAAAAATAAAGTACGCTGGAAGGCGGCGCCGCAAGGTGGCGATTCAATCCAGGAGAATCAGGTGCAAGAGGATGACTGCAAAATAAATGATGAAAAAGTCGGAAAATCTGCCTTAAAAAATATGTTGGGTACAAAATTTACGATCGGCATGACCCCCCCCCCCCCCCCCCCCCCCCNGGGGGGGGGGGGGGGGGGGGTTCAAAATGTTGACAGACATGGGGCGGCGATCACGTAAATCCGGCCAGGCGCCGGAGCACGAATATTTTTGCGCTTGATTTCCGAATTCAACGATGCGAGAGTATACAGGGTGTTCCAAAGGTCCCGCTCCCTCCTCTAACTTTTGAACGGCTTGAGATAGAAAAACGAAACTTTGGGAATGTTTCTATCTTAAAGAGGACCATCTTCCGGGAGGTCAAAATTTTTGTCCCTCCCTAAGGAGGGGGGGGGCAACTTTTTTTTTCAAATGGTAACCCCTATCTTGTGACCATAATTTTGACCATTTAAATTTCGTTTTTTTTTAAACTTTTCCCGAAATTTGGGGACTTGAAAACGTAATGTTGAACTTACTGAGATAATATTGAGGCAAAAATGGGAGAGTTTGGCTCATTTCGCGGGAAAATCGTATGACCTTTGAACTGACGTATTTATTTTCAAACTTACCGCGCGGACTTTATGCTGCGACACTACAACCGCTCTCTGTGGTAATTATTTAGAAAGATTGCGCAGTTGTTAGTTGTAAATACAGACGATAGGTAGCGCGCAAATCGATATTTGATTTTGTAGGTTATGTATTTATTTACCTCTCGCCTTATCACTCTTATCAGTTATCACCAAGAACTTCTGAACATCATCACTTCATTTACCTTTCAACCGTTCTCGTCATGAAAAAATTACTATCAAGTGGTGGTCAGTTATCAGCGAGACAACATGTCATCATTGATTTCCCGCAGTTAATATAATCGATTGGCCAAAAAAAATGACTTTCCCACAACAAAATTTGCTGCCCATTCTGTGCTCTGTGTAACTGTCTCCTGTGAATTCTTAAACTTTTTTAACAATGAAAATCCCTCGTAAAGTTATCCTTCACCAACTTGGTCGACTAGGATACATTGAAAGTTTAGCAAAACAGCAAAGTGCTGAGAAAACCCTGAAAGAAATCACTCAGGATAAAGAAGATAACCCACCTTATCATGGATCACTATTCCTCGTTGAGCACAATCCAATTTACACCACCGGAGCTCGGGAAAATGGATACGATGACAAGTTTGCGGAGAGACTAAAAAGCTTAAATGCAGAATTTTACAGATCTAACAGAGGAGGGCTAATCACTTTTCATGGACCAGGTCAGCTCGTGGCATATCCTGTCATTTACTTAAAATATTTTGATCTGCATGTGGGAACGTACGTTGCTAGTTTAGAGAATGCGATTATCAAATTATGTGAACTGTATGGACTTAAAGCATACACTTGTGAACACACAGGCGTGTGGGTAAATGATCGTAAAATATGTGCCCTTGGTGTTCGTTGTAATAAGTTTGTTACAACGCATGGATTGGCTTTAAATTGTAACACAGACTTAAACTGGTTCTCGCACATTGTACCTTGCGGTATCGAAGGCAAAACTGCAACTTCATTATCCAAAGAGCTAGGTAGAGATGTCACTATTGAGGAGGTGACACCTGCATTTCTGAAATGTTTTAAAGAAGTTTTTGGTGCTGAGTTTGATACACCGAAAGAGTTGATCGCTTGCTTATGAAATGTCTTACACTGACTCAAGCAGCTTCAGTCATCAATTGTGTAAGGGGAAAAGTATCAAAGGCTTTTAATTTGCATGCAAACCTCTGTGGAATTTTGACCAAACTGGTTCTGACCAGCTGTGCTACCATTAGAAATTACCTCTCTATCTGGTTTAATCCTGTGATCTGAGCTTAGTTCTCTAGCATATTCTCAAAATTTATGTGTAGAGACACCATGACTCATTTGACCTTTTATTTAATTATTGATAGTCAAATGATTAACTGAAGGATAAGTTTTATTGTACCATGAAGGAAAAACGCTTTTTTCAAGAACCAGTAAAAGTTAATTTTATAGGTAACTTCGAAGTACTATTTTCACAATAATACTTTTGCTACTGTACACATCTGTTTTTGCTTTTGTACACATCAATAATTGCATTGTAGTTCTATGACCTCTCATGGCCAGCCATACTCTAGATCAGATTATGATGTAATTCACTGTAAACTGCAGAAGAGAGATGGCGCCAAAATTTTTAGGTACATGAATAGACCTTTTAAAATTATTAGGTACAAGAAAAAGACATTTTCAATCAACATGCCAAACAACATTTGATTTTGGAGTCAAAGTTTTTAACTTACTAGCGCACCTTGACCTTCAGTGTGAAATTTAGGATTTAAGCACTCTTATCCATAATGGATACAAGTCTTCCAAGAGAACCAACCTGAATTTTTAAAACCCAGCTTTTAAGGATGCCATCTGAATTGTGAATAATTTATACAAGAGACAAAATTATGTGATTAAAAAAGTTTTTGTTGAACAACTGCGTTCTGCTTTCCCTGGATGTAAAAACTTTGCATGTATCCGATCCTCATTGCTTTCCTTGGACCAACTTTAGATTTTATTTGTAATAAACTCTGTAACCCCTCAAAACTACAGGAAAAAATTTGATAAATAAAGAGGTCAGATAATTTTAAAACATGACTTGTAGTTTAATTTTAGGGTGTTAACTGGGTTTAACAGGTTTGGAATGAATTTCAGTTTTTAAAAGAATAAAGCTTTATTAAAAAAATTCAGCTTCAGCATGTACAAAATAAAAATTGTAAAAAAAAAATCAAACAGATAACACAATGATAGTAAAATTTTGATATAAAATAGGAAAACATGAACAATGATCGAGGAAGTCTTTAGGACCTGAAAAAAATATGAAAACGCACAAAATGTGTGAGACTCGGCCCAAGAGTAAGGTTATTCATTGAGTTTTAAAGAATACTTACTTAAGAATTGACAAAATTGAATTTGGACTTGTTGATTCGCTAAAATGCTATACTAGGTACATTTTCAATACTTCTTGATGCATCATGAATACAGTTCTACAGATTTCAGTTGAGTACCCAATAAAGCTTACAGAGATAGTAATAAAGGAGTCTTACAAAAATAAATAATAGTGTTGGGCCAGATTTAACTATAAAATAATACGGTTCCTTATAAGACTTAATTAATATTCTTAGTAACCTAATTCATCATGCGCACTGATACAGTGATTTTGAAAATTGTCAGGACAACCAACAGTTATTTTCTCACCGGTTTCTCAAAATCAGCCTTCACTGGAAATAAAATTTACTCTAATCTATTAATTTACTTAATTTTAAAAGAATGGCCTAAAAGATTTATTAAAATATAAAAATTGTTGATAAAAAGATTATTTTAATAATGGCACATTACTTTTTGAAACGTGATGCAATCGTAATTAGTTTGATTCTCAAGAAAACATGAGTTTTGTGTTTTCTTTACCAATTTTGATGATTTAGCTGTTCTTCATGGCAACTTTGGTGATGACCGTTTTAACCTCTGTGTATGCTTCAAGACCATACATTCCGTTTTCTCGGCCGTGACCTGACATTTTGTATCCACCGAAAGGTGTCTGGGGTCCAAATGCATTGTAAGTGTTCACCCTGTGAGACAAAAAGTATTTTCAGATTAATATACGGATTTTTAAGACAACCAAATAATTAGCCTATACTTTTCCGTTACATTATTCTTTCCGATTATGTTGAAAGCGGAACTATATGAAGACACATCATTCAAAATTTTTATCCCTTCTTTTAAAGAGAATATTCGTGCAACATATTCAGAAAATATTCCTGAGAGAGCAAGAAGAAAAGTGACACAGAATTATGTGCAATAAGTATGATTATTCGTCCTTCACAAAGAAAATTACAGCAGGATCTGCAATGTCGCAAAGTAAGAATCTTGGTTTTGCAGTTGCACCATTGACATTAGCTGCTACTAGGAGTTTAGGTTCCCGAAGTGACAAATAAATAAAGGGCAGAGGACAAATATTCAGGATGAACAGGTAGTAGACCCGTTGTTCTTCTCCAAAGCTTTCTATCCTTGGTGATAGAGCAAGAAAGAGTACCATCAGGATTCTGTAGAATGACTATTCTGATTAGAATAAGCAGTTGTTCAAAAAATTTGACATAAAGGGCAAATTATGAAACTTAAAAATCACTCTCCAATCAACTTACCAAACAGTTCCAGCACGAATTCCTTGGACTAAGTAGTTAATTTTATCAACATCTTTTGAGAACACAGCAGCAGCAAGTCCGTACTCCGTGTTGTTTGCTCTTTCAATCACTTCATCCAAGGATTTGAACTTCATTATCTGTTGCACTGGACCAAAAATCTGAAAAAAAATTCATTGTTTTTAACCCCTCCAAATGTATCTAAATACTGCTTAGAATGTTTGAAAAATCAAATTTCCTGTGTCTGCACTGCCTGTTATATGTGGCAGTCGAAAACATTCTTGCTAAAAGCTATTTGACTCTTCAAATTTTCATTTTTCATCATTGAGATCTATTTAGTCAATTTCTAGGCTTTACTGGCTATGGGCATGTAACAGTCTCTAAATTAGTCTTCTGTTTTTAAATTTTCTATTTTTAGATAAAGTTTACACAAATAAGTTTACGCACTTTTAAATTGCCACAGTAGATCATCTGGTGTCATTTTAGCATGGAAAGTAAGTAAATACAAAAATCAAGATGGCAGATCTTTCGTCGCAGTCTAAGAGTGCGTAAACTTATTTAGTGTGGACTCTGACTCAAGTTATTTAATATAGCATTAGGCCTGGGGTTAGGTTGCCCAGCAACCAGGTAGGGACCTCAAGATACATAAATTAGCTTTAAATTTGAAAAAGATGAAAGAGTTTCGAATTTTTTAGACAAGAAGAATGAAAGACAAGGGTGAAAATGATCAGAAATTCATCAACAAAAAAATAAGTTAACTACAGGCTGAGTACAAATAATTGATTTATCACTGTGGCCAAAATCTATGATAACTTTGATTTAAATTCCTCAAGGAAATACATAGTTGGAACGGCTTATAGAGGCAAATCACTTTACCTCTTGTTTAGCAATTGTCATGTTGTCATCAACATCAGCAAACACAGTTGGTTGAACATAATATCCTTTGCTATCGACACGGTTTCCACCGGCGACTAGCTTGGCGCCTTCCTTCTTGCCACTATTGATAAGCCCAACAATTTTGGACAGTTGCTCCTCGTCAATCTAAGATGAACAGAGAGCAATAAAATAGTGTGAAAAAAGAATAAAAATATGGAATCATAGTAAAGAATGTTGATCCGAGTATTTTTTTTTTTTTTTTTTTTTTTTGAGTTTTTATCTTTTTGGCTTGTTTGATTCTAGATTGAAGTTACTTCAAGGTTGTTATTAAATAGCAAAGTCTATTAAAATTTTTAGGTAAATAATACACTTTTCTTATATTTTTCTTTGTCTTTTAAAATACTACTTCGCGTAGATAAGTTCCATCTGCCTGATGACATTTACAAAACTCTGTTTATACAATGACACTGGATTTAGCAGAGTGGAAAGTAAGAAATTTGACGAACAGAGTATATATCACAAAAGTAAGTACAAATTTTCAACACCAGAATAGTTAGTAAATATTTACAAACATTTATTGAAAAGACAAAGCAAATAAATGAATTATTCAAATGCTTCTTTTTGAACAAAGCTTTAAAAGAAAACAATGACTCAAGCATTTACAGCAACAATTTCATTCTGAAACAAATCGTTTTTCGAGATAAGAGTCTTTTTATTCGCAAAAATTGAAAAGGTTGCTAAAGTTTACTTGAACTTTGGTAATTTCAAAATTATTAGCGAAAATATGAAGACGCTTATTCTAATATTTATATGGGGGTATTTGGGCTTCATTTTACAATGAGGCACTACAATTTCTGACCCATTAGTAAAGGCACTTATCTAAATGGGTAATTAATGGCATTTAAGTCATTTTTAAAGTGAGCTGGATACTATAGCTCCTGATTGCAAAATGTGGTCTAATTCAGAGTGTATTCCTTAAGATGAGAGTGGGGATATATAAATCTTGCGGTACCTGAGGTCCTTGCTCTGTGCTTGATTCAAATGGATTTCCAACAGTTCGTTTCTTGGCTCGCTCTGCACTGCGCTCAACAAATTCATCATAAATTGTATCTTGAACAAATGTTCGGGACCCAGCGCAACAGCACTGCCCCTGTGGGTAAAAATTAAGCAAGACAAAAATGAATTAGACAAAAAGCAAAATTAACAATTTTTTCCAGTTTCGTTGAGGGCCAACAAACAAAACCATCCACTCAACAATAATACCTCTCTTGCAAACTTATCTCTGGTAGTTTCTTAAAGAATATTGTTTCAATATCATACTGAGCACATTTGCAATGTCTAAAACTCATCCTATATTTTGAAATCTCAGTGAGAAGTTAAAAAATGTTGGCGCTTCTTACTTCAAACAATAAAGTGTAGACATAATTCAGTGCAGTAGCCTGATTGTTGAAATTTTGTGTTTGTCGGGTACACATAGATGAAATAGGTTAAAAGGCGGAGCGTGATTGGTTGGCTATGTCTATGGTCTGGTTTTATCGCTGCTTTATTGTGCCTACATCGGGTGGAACTCACAACAAGCCAAAGGTAACTCGGAATTTTCTGACAGTTTGTCATCCATTCCACCTGACAAAAGCAGCGATAAGGCATAGATGGCCAATAACGCTGCGCCGTTCAACTATGTCATCTATGTCTACCCGACAAACACGAAAAAACAACAATCAGGCTGCAGATGAGTCAACTTTTCTGCTCTTTAATTAAGCATCACTGCAAACTCACAAAGGACACGTTGTTTACCACGATTTTTTAAAGAACAATACGCTATTCACACCCTACTTCGTGCTGACCTTCACATTTTTTACAGCCTTCCCATTGTTTTTTGCGACGAAGGTCATTATGACAAGAAGTTTTTGCACTCTTGCTGAATATAGTTGGATTATGACACAAAAGATTTTAACTTGAATTACCACAAAAAATGGCGAAACCCCCATCAGCGTATTCTTAGGACTACCAGAGAGAGTTGGACTTGACTGAAAGAGCTCTTCGCAGGGTTGCCACAGAATTTAAAAATTTAATTTTCTTGACACATTTTGGTAGAATTCCGGAACAACGGAAGATATGCCAGATGGTTGAGAAGACATAATTTGAAATAGTTTTCATGATAAAATTGTTGTTTGATACCTCAAATCTATTTTAGAAAGTAAAGAAAGGTAACTTAACAATTTTTCCCCGACACTTTTTCCATTTTCCTGCTTTTTCTGGGATCCCCTGACTGTGGCAACCTCTTCTTTAGAAAAATTGACCTCTATCCATAAAGGTTCATCCCTGTCAATGGTCACAAACCTGAAGTTGTATTAAAAATTAAAACAGAATTTTAGCTAACCATATTGAAAAATAGACCGAAATGGGCAACTTCTACAGCCTCTGGTAGGTTTACATCATCCAGGATAATGTTCGGAGATTTTCCACCCAGCTCCAAAGTGACTCGTTTCAAATTACTGGCTCCAGCTCCTTGCTGAATTAGTTTTCCGACCTAGAAATTGAAAATAAGTGTCAAGATTAGTGTGCTATTAATAACAGGTTACAGAAGCAAATTTACCTTTAATTCTGACTTTCTTAAAATTAATTTCTGCAACAAACATAGCAGAAATTTTTTGGAGTCTCATGGCTTGGTTATACATCAAATCATTGACTTTTTTCCTCCAGGTGAAGATGTCAAATTTATGTGAAGGACTGGTCGCAGTAATTAATTTTGTATCAATAACTGTTGGGAACGTCTGTTAAAAAATATTCTATTCTTTCCACTGCAGGGTGTCTGTTAACATTTTCTTTTCCAGCACCCTGACTTTCCAGGTTTCCCTGACCCTTGGATTTTCCAACTCCCTGATTTTCCCTGCCTTTCCCAGACCTTCTTTCCCAAATCAAAAGAAATGCAAACATGTTCAAAACTCATTACCCACGACTCAAGGGGAAAATCCACTACGGATGGTGTGGAAGAGGATTGAGAAGGTTTCCAAATTTTCACAAGAATCCATATTTCAGCTTGAAAATTTGTTGCCGAGAGCTCAAGAGCAGGGTTCAATGTTTACGATTTCCTTCATCTCCAAATTTGATTAGATTTTAGACAAAAATTGAAGAAACATACCTCAGTTGATCCAGTAAATGCAACTTTGTCAATTCCAGGGTGATGAACTAAGGCTGCTCCAGCATCTCCGTAGCCTGGTAAAACATTGATAACCCCGGGGGGAAAACCTGCTTCTTTCGCCAGCTGAGCCGTGTACAAAGCAGTTAGTGGAGTCTGTTCTGCAGGCTTCATGATGATACAATTTCCTGGAAAGAAAAAGGGCCGTCAAATTTGAAGAATAATTGACACAAAAATTTAATTCGTACTCAAGAATGATTTGAAGCAAACCTCCACCTATCTTTCACTTTTGAGCAACAGACATTTAAAAAGCAAACTCCTTTAGAATCTCCCTGAGAATCTTCTCTGAATCTTTCTTTAAGTTTTGACTTCACCTCAAATTTTTGCAAATTCTCATTCCCTAATATTCACCGAATTTCAAAGGTAAATTTTTTAATTAAAAAAATCAGTTCCTTCCCCTAAATAGCGTAAGAAGAACAAGAGTTTTCTCTTTACATAAGGCAAAACATACTAGTTGCTGAATATATTGCTCAGGGCAACATGAAATATAAAACTTAAAAACAAAATAGCCTAGTCAGCGAAAGGAGATGAAAATTCCATGTTCTAACACCCATTTTCTGGAGGATTGCCTGCTTCTCCTGAAGGTCTTTTTTTTTTCTCTAAGGAATCCCAAGGACACTTGGTTTTTCCAGGTCTTGGATAATAAGGACTTTCCCTGTCACTAAGGCTCTCGCTTACCATATGAGAAATAAATTATTGATATGAGATATACCATTTTATCCACAATTATTGGGATACACTTTATTTTCTCCATCCATGGTATTTTCATTCATGTAAGTAAATGAGAAGTGAGAACACGAACCTGTTGCTAGGGCAGGACCAAACTTCCAAGCAAGCATGAGAAGAGGGAAGTTCCAAGGAATGATCTGGGCACAAACACCAACAGGCTCATGCCGTGTGTAAGCGAGATAATCACCATCCATTGGAATAGTCAAACCATGATTCTTGTCAGCCCATCCTGCGTAGTACCGCAACGTTTTCACACTTAGAGCAACATCTCCAGTTAACGCTGCTGAGTATGGTTTGCCATTATCCAGGGTTTCAAGACTCTGTAATAATACCATTAGAGATGTAAAATATTGTGTGCAAGTATTGTTTATGACTAATTAAAAACCATATCAGAGAATACAGAAGGTTTACAAACCAAATGAAAGATCAAAGATGCAGAAAGATCCTGTCTTCTGCACTTTAAAATACCTGTCTCATAGTGTTCCACACTTTTCCTAACTTTTATTTTCTACAAAATTTACCTCCACTTTTAAAAAGAATGCCCCATTTCGTTTTTTATTCAATTCGTAGGTATTTGCTTCAACAAGAATTTTGGATTAAGATTTCAAAATTTTTGAAAATTAATCTCCATCCTTTGATCGTCCAAAATAATGTACCTACCAGTGTCTACCTCAAATATCAAAGGCAAAAAGTGCAAAAGCACTTTCACGTTTATAATTAGGGTCTCTACACATTTTTACATACCCGGGCAGGCGTGTAATCAGGCATTTTCTGCACCCTCATAAGAACCTACATTTATTACCCAAACTCCAGCTTTATAGATCGGTCATCAAAATTGACACATTGAATAGACATTAAGAAAAGTCTAGTCCCAACTTACTGATTTGTAAATATGATTGATCACTGTTGATCGCTGTCCCAAAAACAACAAATAATTTCCAAAAGAATTTATCTACACTTACAGCTATGTACACAGCATCTCGCTCTATCAAATCTGCCAACTTGTTCAAGAGAGCACCCCTGGCAGATGCATCCATTGTTCTCCATGGGCTGTTCAATTTGAAGGCTGTCTGCGCTGCAGTCACTGCTTTATCGACATCAGCCTGTAATAAGAGTTGATCAATTGAAAAATTTTAAAAATGTGTTGATTTGGCAAAAATGAAGGAACCGAGGTATCGGAGTGAGTCACAAGTATATGCTATGTAAACTAATATTTATTCATACTAATGTGATTAAAAGAGAAAGATTTTTCTTGATATCTGGTGCAGTCAAATCTCACTACCTATGTTTAAAAGTATTAAAACTGTGGGTATTTTACTACTGAGCAAGATTTTCAAGTTACTTAGCAGACTTTTTCTTGATAGCCACTGGTTCATAAAGATAAATCAGGAAAAACTCAAGCCAAAATGTTGATTTTGTTTGATCTAAAATATAAGGTGTGCATAAGTTGAAATATTTCTGAATGAGGTGAGCGTTTTACAGTATAGCCTTTGTACATCTATTCCCCGCAATCCCAGCTGTAAAAATATGTTCGATTTATGTATGCTTGAAGCAGAAATTATACATCCACTGTAATCCTTTTCCTTACGTTTTTAGGATGACATGTAATTAAGTTTTAAGGTATTTATTTTACCTTGCCTGCTTCTTGAATTTCAGCAATTGTCTCTCCAGTGGATGGATCAACAGTTTTGAAAGTTTTTCCGGAGGATGATTTGTGCCACTCATTGTTGATAAAGAGCTGGAATAAATAAACAGTAGGTGAGAAATACAGTTGAGAGGAGCTGCAGTGAATGTGCGCTACAAAAAATAGAACAATTGTCATGAGCCACATCTGCAGTTCAGCAGGCAGTCTGGTTTGACTGATTATGTAACTCAGATCAGATTTTCAAAGTAGACACTTAGAACTAATATCGGGAAATTGTGAGTAATTGTCACAATATCTCAGCAACTGAGCAAGATCAGCAGTGTCACCATCCTTGAGTCTTACCTTCTTTTTCCCTCATTTTTCAAATTAATAAACAGGGAATCTGGTACACTTCAGGGCTAACTTGGGCAGTTATGGAATCATCTACAATCGTAGAAAATTTTTCAATATTTAACTGTATTGAATTTGATAGCTTGAATTAACTTGGGTGGATCAATAGGAGATACAAGTTTCCCAGTATGATAGGAGAAAAGAAGAAAAAAGATAAAGATGACTGTGGGGTGCTTGCAACGCTCACCCTGCTCGGTCAGAAATCGACACAAAACATATTTCTCCTGGTGTTTCAATTTTGCCGAATCACTATTTGAATAAACTAATGTCATGCGAAGAAACTGATGATCGCCCACTAGTAATTGATTAGAGGCTTTGTGAATTTTTCGTCAAAAATAAAACTGGAAAGACGGAGTTCTCCGAATAAAGCTGCTGCATTAAAATACTCACCCCAGTGCATTCCACGTTTGGGCTTTTCACCGGCGCCGGCAAGCTAAGAGTGCTCATCAATCTCTCCAACTTTTTGAGATTGAACATCTTCATTTCCCGTACTCCCAACATGATAAAACACAAAGCAAGTAAGCTCAGAACGCAAAGAAAGCAACAGAAACACAAAGGGGTTACTTGGTGTAAACGAACGAAACGAACGCAATTCGCCGCTTGCCGGTTCCCGCAGAGCTTTCAAGTGCTCAAGTATCACGTGGTGTTAACTTAGGGTCAATGGTCAAGTTACTGATCTCTGAAATAATGCTGATGCTGATAAAAAAAAAAATTTTAAATTTAAATCACTATTTTGCCGAACATAAGGAAAAAGCAACAACAATACAGCAAACCCAACTAGAGATAAGAGATTCTCATTCTACCTAGAGTCCCTTTATACTAGCTACGTTTATGCGAGGCTCGAAACCGAGGTTTCACGAAACCCGAGTTTGTAATGCAAGTTTTCGCCGTCGGGTTTATGCGGGCGCTGTAACCCGACTTTCGCGGGAAATCAAACTTTCCGATTTTGGCGCTGTTTATGCGCATATTTTCGATTGAACTTGAATTTCATGTTGGCGCCANGCTATGGCCAATCAAATTTCAGGCTATTTTTACGTCACAGGAGAACTCAGCCAAACGTTGCCAAATTGAAGTAATTTTTCAAAAAATCTATTTCAATAGTTTTACTGTTCAATGAATGATTTTTACAGTTTTTAGCGATCCTTTACCCACTTCAACAGATTATGAAAATCCATGGGTTTGTGAAATCAATCACACCTCTGTTTAGGCATCCCGAAGCTGCAACCTGCTCTTGACCTGCTCCCAACTTTGTTGCCGAATTATCGGAAAGATGATAGGTGACAGTTATGTAACGCAATTTGATATAATTACATAAGCATCTTGACAAATAAGCTCTGAAGCGTTTAAGGAATCTACTACCATCATAAAGGTGGAAAAAGTAAAGGAGAGTTACCTATGTTCAGATGACAGATCTACCTATGCATCCAGAACTCCCCCCCCCCCCCCCNAACAGAACTCCCAACTAACCGCATGAGTTGAATGTAGAGTTCGATGCGATTTTTGCATGAATTTCACACCTGCACTATCAGCTCTAGTAAGAAATACAAACATTTTTAAACCTCCGCCGCATGCGAAAGCTTCATCACGAGTCTTTCAAACTTACGCGGTTACCGCTCTTGACCTTGAGGCACTTGGCAACTGCGCAAAAATGATCCTGGCTCATCAGCTGATTTTCGTACACAGCCACTTCTGATAACAGCGTGTGGTTGTGGGTGCTTTGAAGCGAGGCGGTCGCGTCCGTCAATATTTTAATTGACAGAGGAAGGCGGTGAAAGTTATTCGCTCATCGCTCCAGGAGTGCTCAAGGAAAAGGTCGTTTGAAGGTGACGTAACGAATAGCGCATGATTAGTTTCTCATCGGTGCATTACCGAACTTGAAATTCGGGATCTGTTTACGCTCACTTCAAACCGTGTTACAGTCGGCTCAACATCGTGAACTTTCAAGTCGTGAGCTTTCCTAAACTTCAGCAGTTATGGCAGCCTCAGTGTTTTCTGTCGTTCAACCCGGACCCCCCATTGAAGCTTTCGCTTTGAATAAAGAATGTGTCGACGATCCATTCGAGAAGAAAGTCAATTTGATCATTGGTGGTAAGAAATCATTCTGATCCAAAATTTTTGTTCTCTTTAACCTTATCACACTCATGCTTCATTATCTCGTTTAGGAGTTTCGATGCTCAAAATTGGAACCATTCGTTGTGAATGATGCAACAATTGTCTGATTTTCATAGTACTCGCTGGTCGCTTAAGCTGTTGAACATCTTCCGAAACTCTAATGGACCCTCGATTGGATGATGTGCCAGTATGTAGTGACATGCCCCATAGCACATTTTCTTTATCTATCACAAAATTCTTTCCCTAAGTGGTGGAGAGTGCAGGGGTCAAATAATGGGCAGTCTTGTATTGGTTCGGACATCATTAACCTGCAGAGACGATCAAGAGATCCTAGTTTGAATCCTGACCAGGCAACTCAAGTTTGATGGTCTTAAACATCAGTTGTCAAGGGCTAATTGTTGATTAGGGACTGAGGAGGGTCAGGCTTTAACTGTATGTGCAAAATTACACTTTTGGGTGTATTGAAAATACTTGGAAATAAACAATTTTTCATTTTGTTAGTTGAATCAATCAAAAGTTTTTCTTAATTTCCTGTAAATATTTTCACCTGCTCAAACTTTTCCCTGTAAATTTCCAGGAGATATTTCAGTTAGATACTATTTTTGTAGGGAAAAAAAAAAAATGAAAACTAGAAAATGATCAGAGGCTGTGGTACGTCAGCGGCCATCCATAAATTACTTAAGGCACTTAGGGGGGAGGGGGGCCTCTAACAGCCTTACGGTGCCTAACGAGGGGGGAGGATAGGGCTTAACCATATGTAAGCTTTCCACCCTACTTTCAAAGAAAATGCTAAAATCCGTTTTTTGTCAGGTTGATAATAAAATTCAATATGAAATAGAGGAAATCTTCGGACCATGCTCCCGTCATTTCTCTTGATTCCCACTTCTATGTGCCAATGCATTTCGGGAACCTCGTCCCATCTTCAATTTATTATTAATCTTTATAAATAGATGTAACATACCGCTTACAACTTTCCACTAATATGGTTGTGCTTTACCTCCTCCTTTTCGCATCCTCCCCTTATATCAATACTTATCTGAAATTATTCAATTTTTACTCTCCTGTTCAATGGTTTTTTCTCCTCCTTGGAAATTTTTGAAAGTTTGTTTTATTCACATTTTCTTTTATTTTTTAGCTTACCGCACTGAAGAAAGTCAACCATGGGTCCTACCAGTTGTGCGAAAAACAGAAATTATGCTGGCGAATAATGAAAAAACCAATCATGAGTACCTGCCAATCTTGGGTTCGGCTCCATTCTCCACCGCTGCCACTGCCATGCTACTCGGCAAGGACTCAAAAGCTCTCAAAGAGAAAAGGGTATGAATTATCTAAAAACACTAAATATTATTTTAGAAGGAACAACCATTTGCAAGGAAAAAGACCTTTAAGTTTCATGATTTAAAATGAATAAGTAGACACCACTGCTTAGAGTATTGTTCCATGCACATTCAAACGAAATGCCCAAAAATTTCATACAATCTAAAATTGTAACAGGTTAAAATTTACAGCCTGAAGAATGTAGTTTTGGAAAACTGCAGATTTTGGCAAGATTTAATCTTCTTTTTGGCGCCTGAACTTCTGTCATCTAAACTTCCAGCAATTTATGCCACATTTCGCAGGAAGGAGCCAAGCCACTTTAGCTATCGCCCAATTTAAATGGGCAATTTAAATGTTTAAAAGAGAACCTTCCTGCGGATTTCTTTAAAAATTTCAAGGAATTGGCTTTGTGGTATGCAGAAAATTCACTGAAATTTGCCCAAAAATCCACTTAACAGTTTTCATGTAAAAAATTAAATTGCTCAATTAAGTTTGGCAGTAGCTGATGTAGCTTGGTTCCTTTCTGCTTAGCGGTCTATTTATTTTTCAGCAAGCACCAGAGCGATTGCCATTAAAAGCTCAAATTCCTAATTTTTGACTGAATTAAAAAAACAATCTCTCGTATAAAATTCACCTCCTTGCTGTGAGACTTCTTTCCCCATGGATGGCAGCTTTTGTACTTGACTTTCAAAGGAGAAAAAATCAGTGAAACTAAACCCTTTTATCCTTCCTAATGATCTGATCCCCCTACCCCCTCCCCCAAAAAAAAGACATATTCCTGCAATAATCTATTGGATTCCACCCATGGAGGCCTTTTTCCCCCCTCCTTTAGTAATTTATAATTTCTAGCTATGCCACTAATTGATCAGGAAAAAGTATCAAACAACAATTTATGAAATTGGTGCAATAGTGGATTAACTTTTTCAGTCACCATATTCATAATAAAATTAGATCATTTATGAGGAGTTTTATGAGAAATTGAAAAATTAAAATTTGGTCTCAAATGCCAAAATTTATTGTTTGAAACATTTTTGAGGGAAAATAAAATTTTGTCCCTGTGAAAATTTTGTGTAAAATGCAATTAATTGCATTAATTAATGCAAATTTACCTGCCATGTATGGTAAAGATCAAGATATCAACGTCAAGGTGACAATGTCCTGACTATTAATTCAAAGAATCTAATTCATATCTCATCTCATTTATCTAGAAATTTAGGAATTATCCTGTTTTTCTTAGGAAATTTTTGGCTTGTAATAGGTATCCTAGAACTCACCAGCATTTATGCTCTAGGGAAATCTCTTGTCAAGGAACAGTATTATCAAGAACCATAGGGCACTTATATTTTTAAGTTTGAATATTAACCTTCGATCCCAATTAAAGCAACAAGCCTATCTTCCTACTTGTTTACTTTTCTATTATGATTTGACAGTGAGATTTGTCGTAGGAGTATATTCCACTTTGATTTTCACTTGTTAATCCAAGTGAATCGTTAATCTTTTGAAGTGAGCATTGTCAAGTTATGATGATAAAAGTACTGATTAGATTTTAAAGCCTCCAACGGAATGTAATTATTTGCATATCACTCCTGCTTTACTGAATCTGACTGTCAAAATTTGTTCCTGAATGGATTTATACTTGAACAAAACTCGTCTCTCCGGTGATTGTGTTATGATAGATGATTTTCATTGAGGGAGAAGGAGGCAAAAATGGAATGAAATTGCTGAAAACAACTTGGTTGGGGGAAATTTTTATTCACAAGAGGATTTCGACATCCCCACTATCCTAGTTGTAGGGTTCCAGGGATACGTTGACTTAGATGACCACCCAAGGACAATGCAGGGTGAAAATTTCTTTAAAAAATGAAATTTGTGAATAAATATTAAATGCTTATCTTAAAATGACCGTTTTAGAAGCATCCTGACCACAGTAAGATATTTCAATTGTATTACAAATAAATCATTTTCTGTAATTTATTCCAGGCATTTGGTGTTCAAACGCTAAGCGGTACTGGAGCTTTGTCAGTAGGTAGCAGATTTCTTGTCCAACACCTTGGTGCCAAGCACTTCTACTACTCTGATCCCACTTGGGGTAAGTTTAAACTTTCCTCCAGGTTTTTTTCCTCTCCGCAAAAAGTGGATTACTTATTTAACAATTAATTTTTTAAAAATTATGTCCAACATGTTTCAAATGTGCATTTTACTATCTTGGAAAGCTAATTTAACCACGGGGGTAGTTAAATTAGCATTTTTACATTGTAAAATCTACATTGAAACATGTCAAACACTTTTTTTTAACTACAAAATTGTTAAATTAGCAATTTTATTTTTTCCATAATAATGTCAGGGCTCTTATCTTTTTATCTTATACTTTTTATCCACCACCCAAAGGTTAACTACCATTGTTTAACACTTGTATAATATTGTATACAGGCCCTTCTGAAATCACACATTTTTCTCCTCTCTACAAGGGGAAAACTTCAAAACTTTTGATTCTCTGCTGTGATTTCCCTTGAACAGAAGAATTATCACAATTAAGGTAGCAGCGGTTTATTATAACAAAGACTAAAACCAACCTAGCGAATGCTTTGAAAGCATAGGATTTAAGTAGTAATGTAATTAATGTTAGCATGAAATTTTCAGAGAACCACAGACTGGTGTTCCAACATGCAGGCTTTGAAAAAGGATTTGCGTACCGGTATTGGCATGCAGGAAAACGAGGTATTGATATGGAAGGACTTCTAGAAGATCTGTCGAAAGCAGAACCAAACTCGGTGATAATACTTCATTCCTGTGCACACAACCCTACTGGCTGTGATCCTACCCTTGAACAATGGGTCCAAATTGCTGCTGTGATGAAGGTGTTTTTTTTCTCTTTCATTAATGTACTTATTTAAAACTCAAGAAGATCTGATGTTATTACAATTTTCGACTGGACTTTAATGAATGGAAGGTATCATGGATGATGTCAAAGGATATGTTTGTGTTTCATAGAAGTAGGCATCCAAGTTAAAAAATCGCAAAGAAGCTCATGGCACAATCGAATTTAAATTTACGTGCTATGACCAATGAAGCTAACAAATGACACATGAGTTATTGTTGAATTTTTCCCAAACCATATCATGAGATGAGTTTTACTCGAAGCAGCTATTTTTTCATTTTTTAAAGGGTATTATACCTCTCATTCTTCATCTTACACCTCCTTCATCCATATTACTCTTCAGATGTAATAGTGAAAAATTCCTGTGTCAGAATTTAGTTGACAATGTAATAACAATGAAAACCAAAAACACCAAGTTAACAAACATCGAGTGTAAATTTGCTGTAAAAACGCAGCATTAAAATGTGTAACATCAAGATTCCACAATAAACTCAACTTGCAAATGAAATTTATTTCATGAGTTGAGTTTCTTAATTTTGATTTTACATATTATTTTTATACATTTTTAAGTAGAGTGTTGTAATTTTAAGCTCTCCGAATTCCTAAATTTTCACTTTTTGTCAAAGTTATATTTAAAGACCTTCATGGGCAATTGCCATGAGTTTTTGGCAAAGGGAACGTAGTAATCTGTAGATGAGTTGACAGGCTTCGAGTTCTCTGATTATGTCGGAAATACTTAGTGGCTGCAGAGTCTGGCTCTGTAGGTTTAAGTCTGCAAGCTGGATAATATTCTCCCAAAAAAATACCCAACACAAATTCTGATCTGCCTCTTTTTTTTCTTTACTTGCAGGAAAAGAAACTGTTTCCATTTTTCGACTCAGCATACCAAGGTTTTGCATCTGGTGATTTAGATGAAGACGCAAAAGCAGTCCGCTATTTCATCGACCAAGGATTCGAGCTATTGTGTGCACAATCTTTCGCCAAGAATTTTGGTTTATACAGTAAGTTTTCCGTTTAGCCATACGTGTTCCCTGTATTGGAATGCATGAATTAAATTGTACCTGGGAGAAGGCAAAAGATACACATGGTGAATCTTTAATTCTTTGTGTTGAATTCTTAGTCCGTTCAAAAAAAATATATATAATTTTTATTCTAGATAAACTGTAAGTGGAAATATTATTTTTTATTTTATCATTAAACTAATTTTTCTATCGTTCATTTTTTTTTTTTTTTGGTAAAAATTTATTTTTGGAATTATTTAGGAGTGTAGAAATGAACTTGGAAAAACATGAGGCAATTTTCTCAAGTGACTTTTTCTAAACTCCTATTTTTGCTTTATATTGTTTAAAAAAGGGGAAGAATTGAACATTTTACTGGGAAATCGGGGATTTTATTATAAAATCAGATGTTCGGCTGCAAAGCTTATTGAAAATATGTTGCGAGATTAAAAAACGTCAGATGGCAGCAGACAGTTGGCCATTTGAAACTTCTTGCCCTCTAAATTACTTTTAAAAGCTGAAAAATAATTTTGTTGCTTTGTACCCCAACTCACAGTTTTCCTCATCCACAGGTCAAAGAGTTGGAAATCTGACGTTCGTAACAAACGATCCCAGTACGATCCCTTCTGTGCTGTCTCAAGTGACTATCATCGTTCGTGGACTTTACTCTAATCCTCCAAGTCACGGAAGCAGCATTGTTTCAACTGTACTAAATGATCCAGAACTATTCCAAGAATGGTATGTGATTAAATTCTGTATTGGAACTGTTGTCCTTTTATCTGCAGGGATGAGAGAACTCATTGTAGGAATGGTCAGCGTAGCGCAGGCTGCAGCTCCCAATAATCAATTTCCAGAACAGTAAAATTTTGAATCTCTATTGAATAGAAATTCAATAATTTCATCATTGCCAAACTCTTAAAATCATAAGTTAATGAAAGACCATTGATTCGCCGTAACTTAGTAGTAGACTCTTCGACAAGGAAAAAAAATTAACACCATATGAACAAAATTTAACATTAAAAGTGTTTGCTTTTCAGAAAATTCTAATTACTACTCTTTAGAGGTAGAGAAAATTCTAAAGTGCACAAGCTTTCTCTTACAACTAGCATAATTCAATTTTAGCTTCAATTTTCATGCTTGTGAGATAATTTTTCGGTGAAGGATTTTTTTCCCTGAGTAAAAAACAAGAAAAGAGTAATAAGTACAAACTTAAGAAAGGAGCTTTTTGTGAAATTGACCTCCAGTTATTTGCCGGAAGACCAAGAGGCTGTCATTCTATGGTACAGTGGTCATAGGGCTGGCTCTATGACTAGGAGGTCCCAAGTTGATTCCGGGCTAAGGGACCTGTGTTCAATTGTCTCAAACAACATTTGCAGGGAAGGATGGGGCCGCGAGTGAGTGCGCAGGATTATCCCTTTGGGAGCACTGTAAGTAATTAAAAAAAAGTTTTCTCTCTAAGATTGATTTGTCCTACCTTTTTGATTTTTGTCTTCTTGTAAGCAAGGAATTTAAAGTAAATGTCATATGTCTAATTTAATATTATTTTTTCAAATAGGCAAGGATGCATCAAAACAATGTCAGACAGAATAAAGAAGATGAGAGCAGGTTTGAAGGAAAGATTAGTGAAACTACAAACTCCGGGCTCTTGGGAACATATCACATCACAAATCGGCATGTTTTCTTACACTGGTCTCACTCGTAAGTGCCCATCACTTTACATTAATTTTCTTTTCATAACAGCCCTACGTGCACTTTTTTCAAAACCTTAAGGTCCCTCAAGGATAAAATCGCTAAAAACGTCGTCCAAACAAATAATTAAGTGAGGAAAGTTTGAGTTTTTTAAATTTCTTGCGATTTTATTCTAAAATTATGTGTACTTTCCTTGTTTTTTAGCCTTATTTTCAATATCATCTTAAGGTACCTATTTATTAAAAGTTTTGTGTGTGCATTGTTCCACAGGAAATCAAACATAACGGTAGAGCCTTGATTTTTCAGCCTCCAAAAGAACAAATTCTGCCATTTTACAGATCAGTTTCTCAGTTTCCGCAGAGAGATTCAAACAATCAATGTTAAAATATTCACCTTCAGCTTTTATTTCGAGGGTTTAACTTTTAATGTTGAATGTTTCCAGTGTACATATCAAAAAGAATCTTGTCTAGTTATCAGACCATGATTAACGAAATTAAAGTGTTTTGGATACTTTAAAAAATCGCCAATGACGGCTAAACTAACGTTCGGGGGGAAAATTTCATGGTTGTTTTCACTTCTTTCCTGATTGAAATGAAGTGTATCCCTCCAACCTGGGCTAATATTCCAAAAAGACTGAATTTCCACTATTTCAAGAATCCCTCTCTCCTTGTCTAATGATTTGATTTTGTCTTTTTTCCCGCTTTTAGCTGCTCAAGTTCAGTATCTGAAGACAAAGCACCATGTATATGCTCTTAAATCTGGACGAATAAATATGGCAGCTGTCACGACCAAGAATTTAGATTATGTCGCCAGCAGTATCCATGACGCAGTTGTTAATGTGAATGAATAATAGCACCTATCCCTATTTACCTATGCATGAAATTTGGTACAGAAAACAGAATGAAAACAATGTTTTATCTGCATGAGTTGTCCCTTTTCACACTTGTGGGAGTAGGTAAGTCAACACTTACAATGCCAGTTGGGCTCGTCTCTGTTTCCAATTCCTGTGATCTTTGTTTTATGGTATTTTTAATGCAAGGTTTTTCACGGAGCACTTCTTTTGTTATCAACAACGCATTGTGTCTGGTTATCATATTTTAAACTAGCCATCATTAGGTGGTGTGATCTTAGAGAAAACAGAAAATGAGCCATCAGCAAAAAATCTTACCTTTGCTCTTTTTTTTATTTCCCTAAATACAGAAAAGTACTCGTGTAAACCATGAATTGTAACCAATGAAGAATCAAAATTAGTCACTTGTGAAGAATCTAATGTTTTTGTGCAATTGTTTTCCTCGGGTTTTTTTTTTTTTTTTTTTTTTTTTTTTTTGTGGATACTCATACGCAGATTCATGTGAGGAAATGATGAAAAGGCATACATTCCTTTTTATAACTGTATATTTTATTCTTTTTTTTTTTTAAATAACATTGTTTAGAGCCCTTTTAATGTGATGTTATGACCATTAAGATGCGTTGAAAATGCTCAATGGTCAAAAATGAAAGAAAAATCTTGCACTTTTTTGGGTCAATTAAGGGTACCAAATGAAGACTCGCTTCATACTGCCGGCTAATCAAGCATGCCGCATGAACATTCTAATGTTGCCAAATCCCTCTCCCTTGATGAAATATTTATTTTCAAGGAAAGTCGTGAATATTTTTCCTTGAATTTTTCTGATATGCTCTATCAATAAAATTGTAATTGAAATTCTCAGAAAACTTCGAAGGAAAATGACCGTAAGTCTCTTAGAAAATTTGTGTATTATTAAAGGAAATTTGGCATCATCGGAAGGTTCATATGGCGTTTTTAATTAGCACAGTGGAGTAGTTGCAGCACAGTAGTTGAGTAGATAAGTTAAGACAGAACTTTATTTAATTTGATAGTGATAGACAAAGCATTAGACAAAGGAGACCAAAAAAAGTGGAGAAATCCTTTCGGTTGAAGCGGGTGGTTGTTAAAGATGGACTAAGAAAGAAAATGATGGACTAACTATGAGGTTTCTCATGGGTTGCTGTCAGCTAGTCTATCACTTACCTCCCTTGTCCATTGCAACCACTAATTTCCACTATTAGGATTTCTTTATTTTCCCCTTGTCCTTTTTGTGTGTAGCTTTGTTGATCATTTTCAGTTATCAGCCCATAGCTAGTTTTTTTCCTGTTGAAACTTGTTTGATTCAACCTAATCGTGAGGTTTTCCTTGACTGTATTTATTAAGATTTGTCAGTGTTCAGCAGCAGTGTGCCGATATAGATCGAGCCTCAAGCTTGTGTTAAAGCTTCAAATCAAGTTAATAGTCCAGTACCACATGTACAAATAAGAGGTCCCGTGTGCAGTTTCGTGGGTAAAATTGTTGTGATATGTCATTCTCTTCTTTAGGATGTCTAGAATCAGAATTTCGATGGTGTCAAGTTCAAAAATTGAACCGACGCCCAGAATTCAAGATGGCGCCCAAAATGGCCACCGGTTTTACGGCTGAAACACCAATTTAGCGCAGCTATGATAAGCAATACGTTCAAAATTTAGTTTTGTGGGTCAAAGAGTTCGAATAGGAGATCAAATGTTTATTCCTACAAAAAATTAAGCCTCCGAATCGAAAATGGCTACCGACATGGTTGCCAGTTAGAGGCGCAGGCCGGTAAATGACTATTGATATTAAGGGGATTTGCCAAAGGAGCTAGGGGTTTCGATAAGGGCCGTTTTTCGGCCCATACCCTGAAATTCTTCAATTTTACGATTTTTTTGCTTCTTGGGAGTCTAAATTTTACGGAATGTGTCATGCTTTTGTCATTTTCGGCCTATTTAGGGGTCTAATGCTGGCCTAAACATGAGTCTGAAGGCTAATTTTTGCGGAAAATTCGGGTTTCTTGGCATTCGACGCGCTGCGCCCGCTGTTTCATAACGATCAAATATCATCGGAGGAGCAAATTTTCCTTCAAGTATGTTCATTAAGGGTGTAAGATATAGTCACTCTGGCCAACTTTCGTCGATGGCAACCCTTGCGCTCATAGTTAAAACGAACTTTTTAGAATTTTCTTGTTTTTCATCATTATTATTAAAATGGCATAAAAAAGGGCTACTCATCTTGAACCAGAAATAGATTCCTTGGCGGAAATTGTACGTAGCCCTCCAAAAAACTTTATGGAATTAAAAGCCCCCCCCCCCCCCCCAAAGAAAAAGCCGGTGTTGCCATATTTTGTTGCCTAAAATCACAGAAAACTATTTGTGATTATTTCAGTATTTGGAGGCTGTTCTTCGTCGAGCTCATTCAGCAAAGTTCAAAACCCTTGATTTTTCATACGTAACGATCACATGACTAGTGAATATGCACATGCATTTATCTATTATTATTTTGTTCATTACATGTATTTATCTAAAGAGACTCCCATCGCGGCGCGGCATTGCCACATATCATCGGTAAAAATCGAGAAAATTATTCCGAGTTGGCCCAAGATTTGAGCCATTATTTCGCATTATGCGCATTAAATAAATACGTAGGACTCAAATTACTGTATTCAGGGATGCAAATAGATCATATTTTTTGCAGGTAAAGTTTTTTTTATGATCTTGGGCTTGTAGGCGACCCATTATCTTACGAATTTTTGACGTGATATTTACGCACGAAGATGCAACTTTGAAACATTGACCGTGATCTGGGATCCGAATAAAAAGTAAGCCATGTGTCAGAATCACGAGTTCTCAATGCTGATTTTTTACCCACCCTGACAAGCCCTGCCCTCCGTCACTTTTATTGCCTGCGATCGATCAGAATTCTACTTCCCAAAAATAATTGGAAACTCTGGTTTTCCTGGTTCACTCCTGCCTAGCCTCCTTACCGCTTCCTCATCTGTTGCCTCTTCATCAGGTTCCTCCCATCAGACAACTCATTTGGAGCTACCATTGTAGAATTTTGGAGAAATGACGCGTATTCATCTAGCAAACGCTTAGTTTTTCTAGTTCAGCCTCATATCTGTAATGAGCGAGGTACTAGATGACAGATGCAATATGCGCTGGGCAGCCCACGACTCTACCGTCCACCTGCCGTTGGTAATACCACCCGGATATGCCCACAGGGTTCTATGTCACTTTCAGGTACGGGGCTCAAGCCCCCCACCCCCCCCCCTCCGAAAGCAAAAAAAAGGGGGAAAGAGTGAAGGAAAGAGGAGACAGAAGATGATGAGGAAAGACGAGAAAAGAAAAAGTTTGAGGCCTTCGAAGATATTTATCTCTTTTGATGTAGAGTCTTAAATGAAACCACAGTGTTCATTTGATTAGTATTTTATAAAATTTTCGTCAAAAAATGCGTCTAAATACAGTTTAAATTTCAAACAATTTCCAGATTTGTTGATTGCAACAATTCGAAAGTATTTCGTGTTAAGGTAAAAAAAAAGTTTTTCTGCGGAAATTCATGAAGATCTGTGTTACGGTAGCCTCGAAATGCGTCCAAACAGAGTTAAAATTTCAAACAAATTTCAGATTTGTTAAATGCAACAATTCGAAAGTATGTTGTGTTAAAGGTACGAAAGCGTAATTTTTCTGCATTTTATGATAAATTTGCGCTATGAAAGCCTCGAACTGCGCCTAATAAGATTACACATTTCTAAGATTTGTGATCTAATCAGACGCCATCTAAATAATGATGAAAAACAAGTAAAGTCTAAAAATTTCGTTTTCACTATGAGCGCAAGCAGTGTTCCAAACTCACCTTTGAGTTTTAGGAGCCATGGGGCGCATCAAGCCTGAATTTTAGGCGCCATTGAAGATTTTTTAGGGGCCAGATTGACTTTTTGCCTATATATTACGGCATATTTAGTGAAAAATTAGACGCAAATTTAGATGTTTTTGTAACAGAACTAGTAGGTAGCTGTGACTTGGTGAAGACAAAAGCACTAAGGATGAAATCGTGAAGAATAGAAAAAGCTCTCACTAATTGTAATGCTGAAAATTTCGAATGATCACCTAATATGAAAATTCAGATTTTAAAGGGGCAATTTTTAAGGGCCACGTTGGCGCAGAGCCTTCTTTTTTAGAAGCAATGACCTATGTTTTAGGCGCATTTGGCGCGTTGGCGCCTGTGAGTTTCGAATACTGAGCACAAGGGTTGCCATCGACGAAAGTTGGCCAGAGTGACTATATCTTACACCCTTAATGAACATACTTGAAGGAAAATTTGCTCCTCCGATGATATTTGATCGTTATGAAACAGCGGGCGCAGCGCGTCGAATGCCAAGAAACCCGAATTTTCCGCAAAAATTAGCCTTCAGACTCATGTTTAGGCCAGCATTAGACCCCTAAATAGGCCGAAAATGACAAAAGTATGACACATTCCGTAAAATTTAGACTCCCAAGAAGCAAAAAAAAATCGTAAAATTGAAGAATTTCAGGGTATGGGCCGAAAAACGGCCCTTATCGAAACCCCTAGCTCCTTTGGCAAATCCCCTTAATATCAATAGTCATTTACCGGCCTGCGCCTCTAACTGGCAACCATGTCGGTAGCCATTTTCGATTCGGAGGCTTAATTTTTTGTAGGAATAAACATTTGATCTCCTATTCGAACTCTTTGACCCACAAAACTAAATTTTGAACGTATTGCTTATTAGGGTAACCTCGAACTCCAGTGCTTATTGCTTTGCTTCTCGCTCCTAGAGCGCTCCTAGAGAACCTTCTCGCTCTAGGAGCGATCAGCGAGGCAATAAGCACTAGAGCTCGAGGTTACCCTATTGCTTATCATAGCTGCGCTAAATTGGTGTTTCAGCCGTAAAACCGGTGGCCATTTTGGGCGCCATATTTGATTTTAGGGTCTCTGGAGGGCCGCAGCGAAAAATGGACCTCATTTTCGGACTCTACGACCCCGTAAAACCTAATAATTGATACCTCACTATGCACTTGGACCCGTATAGGCAAACTAGTACCCCTGAGTGGTATTTTTGGCCGCCATCTTGGATTTGGAGCCCTCCTTTGGGTCGGGGGTGTTTTTAAATGTGATATTCGGATTCCTCGTGTCATTTTACATAGGAATCGACATCTGACTCGACGCTATCCGCAAAATTTAAAACTTTCACCATGGCGGCGGCCATCTTGGACGCCATCTTGAATTCTGGGCGTCGGTTCAATTTTTGAACTTGACACCATCGAAATTCTGATTCTAGACATCCTAAAGAAGAGAATGACATATCACAACAATTTTACCCACGAAACTGCACACGGATGCACATGTGGTACTGGACTATAATAATTCAAGCCCCGAATCTTTCAGTTTTGGTCTATCTTGTCCTCAAAATTGTGTAAGCAATATCTGTCTTTGTTTGTTTTTATCTCTCGTTTTAAGCTAATTAATTTTAAGACAATAGGACAAATCTGTTTCAAATCAAACTTTAATTAACTCTCGTTTCTCATTCTTAGCATAATAATAGGACACTGTTGAAGTTGTTATCAGTAGGTATAGTTTGATTGGAAGGTTTCATTTTTTTACACCCTTTTGTTATTATTTTTCCATGGAAAGTTTTATTAAAGCTAGGGATTTAAAATCTAAGTCAAAAAACAATTCTTGATGAATGATCGGCTCCTAATTATACTCTTCTCCTGTCAAGTACATCACATCCAATGAATTTGTTCCTTTTATTGAGGAAGGTATTTTTAAGAAGTTCGGATTGAAATTTCTCTCTTTTGTCATATGGATGGTTAAAACCGAAAAAATGCAGATCTCAGATTGTGGCATCGTTAATCTCTGCCTATGTTTAACTTTTTAAAGAAAATCTAACTTACAGATTCTATTGAAATTTTTTGTGAACTTTCTTCGCTCCTTCCAGAAAAGTCACACATAAGTGCAAGGAAACGTATTGATTAGTTTTCCCTCAAGAAAATAAAACAATCTCAGAGATTATAAAACATTGCAACTGAATTGTGCATTTCGTTGCAGAGTGTGCTTATTTTTTATTATATATCGGCCTCTCATTTTGGAAAAATCGATTGTTTAATCATATTTACCTAATTGCATGAATATTTTTCTAAGGTTTTTATCATGTTCTTGTACACTGTCATACTTATTATTTCATTTTCTAGTTTCGTTTCATAGCTCTATACATCGTTTTTCTACCATCAAAAAATTGTTTCTTTTCAAAAAGAAGTTTCAAACGTGTTCTTCCATCTTCCTCAGGAAATCGCCTCTCAATCAACTATGCTTCAATCTGACGCGCATAAAAACTAAAAGATCATCTCTGTTTCTTTTTCTAAAATACTGAAGCAAAGTTGTTGGTAGTGAGGAATGTTTCGAAATCGTACCTGTTAATTTATTTCAATCAAAATGTTGTTATAGCCTTTCAACTTTTCACTCTTACACTACCGTACTCAGTATACAAGTTTCAGTTTGTGAAATATTTATGATTTTAGAATATTTCTCCAACATTAATTCTGGTTTCTTCTTTTGGTTAGTTATCTTATTTTTCTCTTTATATTTGTATCACTGTTATTCAAGCAATTTTTGAAACATTTGTAACACTCATTATGCCCTGAAAAATGTTTTACTATTCTGTGCCCACCATCTTTTTGAAATAAAATTTCCTTTTATATGAAGATACATCTAAATGCATTCGTGTTATTGTCAGTCGCCTCTCCAGTATTCAAGTTAGATGATTGAAGTGTACAGACTTATCCAAAGTAAGGCCTAATGCTATTTCATGTTGCCTAATTTTTTCTCAACTTTTATTTTCTTAACAAAGGACAGGCTTCTTGATTCCTTTAAACTCTCTGCGGTTGTGCCCTGGATCATCAAGTATCAACTAAAAAAATGAAAAGTTTCTATGTTGCTTTGTTTTTTGTTTAAAAAGTAAGACGTCAGAGAGAATTAGCGTCTGGTGTAGAAAGGAGGATTCCAGCTGTATCTGTCCAATTGTTGTCCAAAAATTGAGTGCTTGAAACAACAATAAAGCTGTGCTTCCATGGAAAGAAATATAAGCCTCAGAAATGACTCAAGAAGTTTTCAACTGTGACACTTTTTGACATGGAGGGGAAAAAAGTGGTTGTATTTGGGGCATTTTGAATTTTGTATAGTATATAGATGGACACTACCTACCTATTTTTGATGTTGATTTTCTTGAAAATTGTGCGGCTAATAGAAGAAAAGTCATTCAAAGAGTGTTGAAAACTATACTTTATAATGAATTATGCAAAATAATGGATGTTATAGGTTCATTGGCCATACTCTGAATTATGGATTTTGTGGAAATATTGACACCGTATTATGCCTATGTGCGTCACAAATTGGAAATTGCCACCATTCTTTTTTTCCCTAAGAACTTTTCCAAAAATATGATGGGAATACTTCAGAGTTAAAATGATTTAAATGGATTTATTTTTCCATGATGGTAAGTCTCAGATACAGGGGAAATAATTTGAATCAAATATTATAAAAAGTGGTTTATTATAAACGTGGCTTTTATGCCTACAACAATACACAAAAGAATAACGGCTTGCCCAGAAAAAGAGAAAAAAGATATTGAAGAGGATAAGTCTTACCTATCAGTACATCAAAAGAAAATTTCGAAATATTAGAAACTATAAGAAGTTTCATGATACTGCGTGAAACTAAAATACAAAAATTTGTGATGGACAATTACAGTAAATTATAAATATAAAATGGTACTATAATTTTATTTTACCACATAATCCTAAGTTCAAATCTTTAAATAATACTATCAATTTTTTCCTTTCAGCAGAAAAAAATATTGAAGAGAATGTACACAAATAGAGTCATTTCTTATTGACGTCAGAAGATTCTTCAATTTCAGTGCCATCATTTTTTTTCTGACAAGACCGAATGATCTTCACTTTCTCGTAGTTCATAATCAATCGATATGTATCAAGAGTGAGATTCAAAGCTGGAACCTTCAATATAACTTTGCTACCGAACAAATTAATCCACTAGGAAAAGATGCAAATTTCTAGAAATTTGCTACAATGTAAAGTCGAACTTTCAACAAGAAGAACAAAAGCTCCCAAACAAAACAAAATTGAGCCTTGCCAACTAAGGGAAGACTAAGTTTTTGCACGGTTTTCTTTTTTCCAAATATTTAAACTCCTTTCCTCAATTGATTAACTTTTGACAAAAGAAAAATTACAAAATGAATAACTAAACAATTAAACAAGATGGGATCGGCCCATAGAACAAAAACTTGATGGTTGCTTTGGGCACCAATTGGGCATTTAGAGGCACCAAGTTCAAAAATGAACCAAGAATGGGCCTTTGAAATTTTAGATTTGCATATTCATTAGATGCTGATATTAGGAGATAAACTAATTGTTTTCACAATAGATTTAGATAACGAAAAAAAAAAAAAAAAACTAACAATAATTTTGCAAAAAAGGCTGAATTAGCATTAAAAGCGAGAAATATTTCAATTATATCTTCTGAATGAAACTTGAATTTTTTGCTAAACACGCTTTACAAAAACAATCATTTCTCAAAATCACAAAGACAAAGATATGAAGAATTTCTGAGCAATAAATCTCAAATTAAAAGTGAGAACTTATCCATCTTTTGAAAATGTCCTATTTGAAAAATAGCTCTTCAGAAGTATCGGTGATTCTTCATTTCCAGGAAATTCCAAACTTTTGAAAATTTTGTCTACATCTATATGTTCTCCTGTCAGATGAGTGTTTTGAGAAGCTGAGAGGACTTACAGCGATTTTATTAAAATCTTCGAGACAATAAAACAAAACTAACAGAGTATTTGCGCATTACATAGTGACTAAAAGTGTATTTAACTATTTAAAGAATCGAATACTAAACGACAATTGATTTATCTTCTTTCCATTACATGACGAATTTACTTAAACACATTCACCACCGAGGTCAAGTCAGTTATCAATTCCATTAATTCAAAGCTCTACAAAAGCACAGCGAAATGACATTAACTGAACCCTTCATTTTAATTGGTTGGAATCATCAAAGTACGCAGCTTTAGCCTCAAAATATGTCTCTTGAATTATCACAGGAAACGTGGCAACATCGCACTGCACTCTTTTATGAATGGTAATAGAGGTGACCTACACATAACACTAGCACCACAAGCAATTGGCTGAGATGAGGACAAATCTTCCGGCAGGCTAATTATTGAGATCGATAGACAAAGAGAAAATGGAGTGATCCTATAGTTAGATAGGTAGTTCTTATAGGCTGGTGGAAAATAATGGACTAGCTACAGAGTCTCTGATGGGTTGCCATTAATTAATCTATGACTTACTTCCTTTGTCCATTGCAACCACCCGCTTCTACCGATAGGATTGCTCTATTTCTTTCTTTGTATATCACACTGCCTATCAACAGCCCGCTGAGCCCCCAAAAGTTTAAAATCCCTTCTCTGATTGGACATCACATTGAGGACCATTCATGACTCCTATAGTGGTGAATGAGTTCAAAAATACTTGTTATAGAGGAAACTTATGAAAATAAAAGAAAGAAAAAAACAATCATACTATCAATTTTGAACGAAATATTTCAACATAATTTCTCCATCCTTGAAACGGAAACCTTAGCAATAATAACTGATTTGAAACATAACTCTAAGAAAAACATAGAGAAAATTAAAATAGTTAAGTGCACACCTAAAAAATTACAAGTGACACAGTCCATGGCTATACACGAAAAAGAGGCAACACTGCAGAACTAATAAGACACTATAGAGTGTTGGGAGGGATGAGAGAAAGAGACTAAACTTCCGATTTTTACTTATGATAAATCTACGATTCTCATTTTCAAAAAGCAAGTTGCAGAACAGTCGGAGATATTACAAAAATACAGACTAAAACTTGGTCAAAATTGAAAAATGAGAGAAGTAAAAGCATGCACTACCATCTGCTTTGATAACATGGTAAAGAAGTTTCTCCGGGATGGTAATATAGTTCGTTCCATAAAATGCCATTATAATCTTCTTATATCAAAATTCGCGCAACTTATTTTCCGATTTTTTCAAGTTCTAAAAATCTATTTATGACTTTAAATAAGATGCTGATGCCTCTCCCATTCTGGTATCGACACAGTTACAGCAACTTTAAAAATGAGAAAAATATTTTATTCACTACAAATAATCTTACAAAAAAGAAGAAATATTAGTCAGTCTCCCAAAATGAATTAAATTTTAGTTGAGTGCCTTAAAACCTTTCTGTTCGTATAATCCGCCTACACATTCTATAGAAATCAATATTCGATAAAATGTTTTCTCTTTTATTTGTGGAGGATAAAAATTATGTGATATTACTTACATCGCTTTTAATTCAATAACTGCCGTTCAATTGTTGCCTATTTAATTGACTCTATATTAGTGCATCAGACCCTTGAAGAGTACCGTACACGTCAAACAATTTTATTACTGACATATTTTACTTTGTTCAATTTCTCTCTTCAAATTTTGGGGAGGGGGAAAGGGGAAGAAGGGGGTATATTCGAGTGTTCGGTATTATTTATGGCATGCAGGGGAGAAGATAATTGCGAAGTGAGAGAAATGTTAGAAAATCAAATATTAAGCATCACAGAATTTTTAAACTTGGGAATATAACACAGATAACCTAAAAAGATTAACCTTAGAACAGTCAAATAAACAGAATAAAACAAAATAAACTTAAAATTTATCAAAACGCTAAAACAAAAAATAGAGAAATAAATTGATGAATAAGCATCATTGATGAGAGGGATACCCACTTTACCTTTAATAGGTTGAAAAAATGAAAACAGGGAAATACGTAGTTATTTAACAAACTAACTGCCCATAGGTTCTGAGAACTTACTTATCAAGCAAGACAAGAGAGAGGTTTGCTAGACGGCCGATATTACTGCCAAAAATCACTTCTCCTTGAGCTTGGTGATTTGAAGCAATTGCAACAGACGATGCAAGAAATAGCTTTCCAACAATACAGAAAGACACATCAGTTTTAGTCTCAATAATAATTGCAATTGGCACGGCTTCAACCAAGACAAGGCCAATAGAGTCAAGTCTGCTTATTCTATGAATTGAACGGGTTATCTTCCAAGTCTCACAAACTAGTGGAAAATTCCTCAATTGCCTTGCTTGGTTCTCAGAACATCTGTGAAAGAGCAGTGATCAAATTAGAGAGACGATTGAGACTGAACGATCAAATTGAGGATACTCTAATTTTGTGCACTTAGAATATCCAGCAAATGAGCTGACCTAAATTTTATAAATCTTGGCAAAAAAGTGGCTGGTATTGAGCCATTGTCTGTCTATCAATATATTCGTCAAATCTCAAGGTTACGCAATCAGTGACTATGTAACGACCAGATAATGAACATTTAGTAGGCAACAACATACTGAGGAAAACAGACTGGTTGTGGCATCATTCCGCTTAATATTGACTGCAAGACATCGAGGTACTGACGAAAATATTGATAAAGTAAACAAATCTTCAGTTTTGCTCACGGGATTAGTTAAATATTAAAACAGTTGCAAAGGATCTTGCTCCTGAGTCAATTTGCAGTCTTAAGAGAAACTTAAAAAAAAACATTTCCCTTTTTCCATTTGAGGCTCTATGAATGGTAGAAGAAAACTGAATGAGAATGTAGAACTAGACTCTTCAATTGAAAATCATGAGAATTTTTCAACTTCTTTAACAAAAGAACATTTTTTAAACCCATTAGCAACTATAATAGAACTGAAGAAACTTCCTATTTTGTCATTCCTCTGACTTAACGGCGTACTTCCATTTCTACATGAGCCCCAGAAAGCATGAAGTTATATGGTGAACGGGGCTAACATAGAAATTGAGATGCATCTTACTGTCGGAGGAGCAACGATTTGATCATGTTGAGTATCAATATCATAGATGCACAAACAAATTCAGTTTTCTTCAACTATTGATAGGACTCGAAAGAAGGATAAGAAATCTTGCAGGACTTGCCAAAGGACACAGAATACTAATATCATACAATGCCCTACTATCATCGGTTATTTGACCAACTTGTCATTTTTTTTAAAAGCTTAGAAAGTAGATTACACATACGTCAAATTGTATGCCCGAAGAGAGATATCATACCAACTTGCTGCACCATTTAGGCGATAGTGCACCAACTTTTGCTGCTGGCTGTATTGGGACTTTCGCTGTTGGAGGGACTTTTTGGTGTCTCTTCATTCTTGGAATTCGTAGGTTGTTCTGGCTGTTCTGTTGGAGTTTCTGGTTGCTTGTAGTGGATTTTGTTTGTCAGCTGGGGCGACCAGTAACTCTTGAACGGTGATGAGAGGAATTTCCAGCGAGGGGTTTCAAACACTTCCGTCTTAGGGCGCTTGGTGCTGTCATCTCCTTTGTCGTCTTCTTCCGGTTCAGCTTTCCTTTTCGATACAGGCGTAGGGTTCACAATCTGGCTTGCGCTGCGCTGACTGGCTCCGCTTCGTCGCGTTGATCTGAGTGGCATTCTCCTGGACGGGGAGAAGGACCTTTGTGAGCGTCTCAACCTCGGTGATTGGGAGGTGGAGGGTTCTTCTGAGTCTACAGCTGCTGCACTGCTGGTGCGAGTTTTTGTAATTGCCTCATCCACCGACATGACTGCTTCCACGGCAGGGTCCTTTCGAGATCGACTGGCTCTGCTTGATCGCCGAGAAGGTGCCGGTTCATCCTGGGTGATGTCCATACTTATGCTCTGCCTCAATTCTGATTCATCATTGCTAGGCGTCTTTGATTTGGACTCCGCAGGGATTTGTGTTTCCGTTAAAATTTGGGAGGGACTGTCAGAGCTGGTGAAAAGTTGAACTTCTTTCTTGCTCTTAGATTTGCTCTTAACTGTACGACTGGGAGATGCTTTTCTTTTCTGAGGTGTTTTCTTCGGTGAAGGTGGAGTCTTCGATAACCGTTGCTTTTTAGGGCTGGGTTTTGGGGATTTTTTCTTTCTGCCTTTTTCCTTCACAGTTTTGGAGGTCGACTTCTCAGGGCTTGATTTAACAAAGGATTCGTGGAGATTAGGTGAATCTGAATCACTTTCTTCCATGCTTTCATTCATTCGTTGTTCAGAGAGAGCATGTTCATTTGCCAAAACAGGCATCTCTCGAGAGTCTTCTTCTGCCTGCTCAGTAAATGGTTTGGAGGCTTCTTTCTTTGAGGCTGGGGTCTTCTTTACCTCTAAAACGATTTCTTCTTCAACGTTTTCAATTATGGTTGCGTTTGAGGAGCCATCTTCAATAGCAACTTGCAGGACCGCGTCAAAACTTGCATCCTCTTGAAACTCAGTGCTGTCCTCTTGCAAATCATCTCTGGAGGATCTTTCTAGACTCTCACCAATTTTTTCTTCGTTTTTATCATCAGTGCTTTCCACTGAGGAGGGGCTGCTTTTTGGCAAGCTGTCCTCAACAGAATCAACTGTTGACGTCTCCACAACTTCATTACTAGCGACATCTTCTGTCATCTCACAGCTATTTCTATCATCGCCCAGGATTTCAGTCTTCCTATCATCATCATCAGAACTTCCATTCTCATAATTGTCAAATCCATTACTGGAGTGATAGGCTCCATAACCATTGCTTTCTCCGTTGGCATGTCCGTTGGTGGGAAATTGACCTACTGGTACTTCATGCTTACCGTTCACAACATCAATCTCCTCGGAAGCATTGCTGCCATTTTCATCAGGATATTCTACAAAGGATTCCATCGATGGCCTCGGTCGGCAAGGTTCTGTGCTTTGCTCCCCATTTCTATCATTCAAGAAAACAATGTTGGCGGCTTCTTTTTTCAATTCGCGAATATTTTCGGGAGATAAAGCAGCTTCGAACCCCGTGTTTCCATTCGTATACATCTCATTTACCGATCCACCTACTTCCGTCATTTTTTCAAGGTCTAAAACTCGAGAGTTCTTCTGATATAAAACAGACTTTCGCTTCAGGGATTTTCTTCGGGCAGACCTTACAAAAGGAGATTTGCCTGGAGTGTTAGCTACTGATTTTCGAACACCTTTCTTCCTCACGATAAGAGTGACACCGAGGCTTTTCTTCCCTGATGCTCCACAATTGTTCTTCCGGTAGTTGGAAGCAGCAAACTGTTGTTTCTTACAAATAGCCTGAAAAAAACAAGAATTATTAATTAATACATTAATTTAACTGAATTTCTTTTTAAGAATTTTGTATCAAGATTTGAACACACGTCTACATAGCAGCATGCACTTTTTAAAAAGACAGTATGCTGGACAGTGTGCCTTTGAACACCTTTAAGATTACTGGGCTTTGATCTTTTAGGATTCAATTGATTTAACTAATACATGTAGAAACATCTTTTTTCCATTTAATTGATTAACTCTGATGAGATTGCTGCCAACCATAATGGCGGCCTCTTCAAGAACTGCTTGCACTCTGAGTCCATACATTGTTGCCCAATACTTACACATTCGACAACTCTTCAATATTGCCATTTAAAAACCTTTGATAATTAGTGGTGAGGATTGCTTATTTTCACTTCTCCTCAATGGAATATGATTGATTGCTTGCTAAAAATTGTATAACACTCCTGTGTTATGTCTAAATTTATTATTATAAAAAATGAAATTCAAAGATTAATTTCAGCTGAATGTTGGAATTTGATATTTTAAAAAAATGCTCATGTGGTGCAAACACCATCTATATAAAACACTAACACCTGTCAATTTTCAAAAGAATAAGTCTACTTGTGGAAGAGCGCATTTTTTTCTTTTTATGTTTTCTTATTGTGGTTGCAAAGAGTGAGAGAAATTCTGAATTATCACTTACACTATTATTTCTCAGACGAAAAGCTTGGATCAAAAGAAAGAAGGTAAGTATTAGTTTGCTTAAAAAATAATTATTTTAAAGGCCTGGAAACTACTTCATATTGAAATAAATTCTTCAATACCTAGTTTTTTGGCATACACAATCTCACCATTCAAGGGAAATACGAGAAGAACACAATATTTTAAAAAATGAATAAATATAAAAATAAAAAAAGGAAAAAAATTATTAAGAGGGAACTGCAAAATAGACACTAGGTAAGAGATATCACTTCTTTAAATCTAGAGGAAGACCCATAAAATTGATCAGAATCATTGGGGGAATGAGAAAGTAAAAGGCTGGACTATAATTCTGAAACAGAGCTAGCACACACTAATTGATAGGGAACTGAAGTAATGCAATACGCAAACAACATAAAAAGCATTATGAGAGGGAATAGTAATTCTCTCAATATAGTTTATAGACAAAGGCTCCTCATTTTTCCCCTTCCATACTTTTTGTCCCGTGCTCACATTCTGCGGCGAAGCATGACGATGAAATTTGAAACTTGGCTCACAATGATGGCACAAAGGTTTTTCATTCAAATATCAGGATACATGATGTTAAGAGAAAATCTATGATTCAAGGTACAAATATCCTGTCAACCAATGATGGATTTTCTCACTCAGTCAGTTCTCAGGTTTCCATTCGATATTACAGTATACTGTATTACTGTATACAGTATTATTGTAAGTATAGGAGCCATGCAAAACTTTTGTTGAGTCAAATAATTTCATTTTATACCTACTTAACAATGTTATGTGATGCCCATTTTTTACTTGAACCAACACTTATATTCATCCATGCCTTCCCCACACAAATAGTTCATATTCTTCATGCTCATCAAGTGGAGAATCAAACTATTTTTAAACAAGTTCAAAGTTAAAGCCTTTTCTTCAGGGAATTTTGGTTGAAAATTCCTAGGATTTGACAATAATCATGTTGATTTGCTTCAACTAATCCGAACTTATAATAAAATTGATGAATATTCATTAATAGGCTGTTATTTTGAGAAAGTGAGGGTGATTTTGAGAACATTCGCATTCCACTCGGCTAAACGCTTCGATGTGAATCTACTGACGAAAAAAACCTGTTTAAGGCTAATGTTTGAGCAGTCTGTTGAGAGAGTCAAGACGAATACCTGCCGATTAATTTAGTAATCAGGATCTAGAAACAGTTGCCATCTAGAATAACTTGTCAACTCTCACTTGAAGAAATGTACCTTGCTTGCAATGTTTCAGTAATACTTACTAACTGATATTCTATTTTTAGATGGGAGCACTATCAGATGAATTTACCTCAAATTATCAGTGAATATTCTTTACACTCTTTAGAGAAGACTTAAAATAATTAAACAAATTTGGGTAGCGGTTCTCCCATGAGAAAAGAAAATGTCCAAGAAATATTGAGACAGCACAGACGAAATACGTTCATGCTGGAGACAACAAATTGAAGCATGAGGTCTTGTAAACTTATTTTAAGTATCTGTGATACATAAACTTACTTTGAATCTTTGTAGCCGTTGAAAAGCGGTGAGGTTCGACACTGGAGGAAGTGGTGGGAATGAAGAAGCACTGAAACATTAAAATTATTAGCTAAGTTATTCGATTAATATTATCAGACAAATCATTTTTAAAAAAACTATTTCAGATTTCTTATACTTTGAATTTGACTCTGTACATCATTACAGATTTCAAAACATATCCACCAAATTATAGGAGTTATTTCTGCCACTGCCGTATGTGTATAACAAGATGTGCTGGCACTGAAGTTATTACTATGAATTTTTAAAAATTATTGCATTTAATTTACACTTGACAAAAAAGACAGTTAAATTGAGTTATTGGTCAAAATTAATTATTTCCTTCACACGAGGGAGAAAACATCTGAGAAGTAGAATATTCTTGACATACAACCAACAAGTCACACTTAGACGAGCCCAAAATTGGGCAACTCAGTCTGTAAGCAAGTTTCAAAAATGGCACACCCAATTTGATAAGAAGCAAAAACTCTACTTTTCTGCAAAATGGCAGATAATTTTACAGAGACAGTGAGTGAGGGAGGGAGATAAAAAAAAAAAAACAGTGATCACTTTTTAAAAGACAGGGAAATAAGAGTTTTTCAAAATGGGAGGCAAAAAGCTTCCCAAACCTACGAAAAACATATTTTTCATACTAATCTGTAAAGACTATTAATTCCAGCGACACACCATTATTGGCCCAACTGTTGAGTAAAAATAGGACAAAGAACTTGCCCCCCTAGCTAACACCACAAATTTCTCAGTTACACTTCATTGTAACAATCTCGCTCTTGAACATGTGTCCATGAACGTCTGCAGGACAAGCAATCTCCTCATCAAAATATACAAAATGAGGGATGATTGCCATCGGTTAGATAGAGAACATCTACACAGGAACTTAGGAGCAGCATCTAATATATGCGAATCTTAAATGAAACCAAAACCAATTCCAAAATTGTGAAAATTCAGATGAGCTGAGAATGAAGCGAAGGATTACCGTGGTGCAAAAAAATATTTTGAATACATCCATGAATTGAATATATGTACTCTTTTTTTATTTCTTTAATACTACAGAGCTTAATTTCTTTAATCATACAGTGCTTTGGATGCTGAAATCGATTTGACAGGATCCGTCCTCAAAGAACTTCGTAAAGATATGTACATCATGGATTACTTAACATTCTGATGTACTGGCCTAGCCATAGAACTACCACTGACCAGAAATTCAAGAGTCCTCACTGATAAAAATTTTGATTTAATTTGAAATACCGATTGATCCTGATTTAAGGCCTTGAATTTAGAAAGACCTATCAAAAGTCCTACCTTGAGAAATTATTCGATATAACTTATTCTGATCAGGACTCAGGAGAGAAGCTTGACTTGTATACTTCAAACCTTGCATGCTTTGAAAAATTATTAAATCAATGCTCGAGACGCTTTTTAGTTGTTACATAAACTTTCCATTCCTACAGGAAAGTGTGCGGTAAAAAACATGAGCCCTGTTATCTTACGAACTTGAAGGGCTTAGAACCAAAGGAGGAGGAGGGGTGTACAATTGCCTTGCAGCATTGCTAAATTCTGTTGGACAATTTATTTACTTACTTCAAAAAGGCTGCAAACTTTCTTTAGAAATTTTCGGAGATTGTGAAAAATTTGCTACAACTGTCCACAAAAGGTATACGATCATTACTAAATTTTAAAAAAAAATTTAGTTGTATGGTAAATTTTTTCAATGCTGGGGTGCACTTAAGAAAATTCCTTTCCCTCGGACCCTTTCAATTGCAGTTTTGCATGAGTAAAAGAAGGAAAATTCACCTTGCACAGTATGTAAGAAAACGGCTATCAGTGTTGGAATCTGTTGCTAAGCCATGATCCTTTCTACAAGTTTTGAGCTTCAGTGACTGTTTTTTTGTCTTGTTTGAATTAGCCATGCAAACACTGAAAAAAAAAAATACTAATGAACAATTTAAGATAAAATTCAAAATTCGATGAGACTCAATGACTGACAATATGATAGACATTGATGGCTGACTTCCAAATAGAGATCTTGCAAGTATCAGGGCTTTGCAATTTTAAGTATGATATCAGATTTAAAATTTTGCAAGGAACACAATGGTACCACTGGTTTTCGAGGAAATAACCTCCGAAGTTAGAAAAAAAAGCTCTCAAAGATATTGCTGAGATGGCAGGGATCCATTACGTCCACTACAAATTCCAGTGGATATCATGGATTGAGAGAAATAGCAAGGGACCAACTACTGTCAGCAGGCTCACTACTGTAGACTAAACAAGATCCACAAGCCCAAGGAAGTTCATCTGGATGCAAACAAAACCTTTGTGCACATCAAGCTATGGCACTATACTGCACAAAGGCCGTTTAGATTGGGTGACATCATTCAATTTTGTCACATTTTACTACTACATGTACAGTTTGCGAACAGCAAAACGAGGAACGCCTGCATTTTAATTGCAGTGTTCTGTTCTAATCGTATCTCATGTTTCACAACAGAATATCATGAGACATTTTAACATTTAATTTCCTGGGAATAATTTTCATGGATCATTGAAAGACCACAAAAATTCGGGTGCATTAATATCTTCCCAATAATAAGTTGAATATGATGTAAAATCTATGTCACAATAAGGGCAAAATAGAACTTCAAAGAGCTCTGCAGAATGCCAAAGGAACCCACTACATTCGATAGCATGAGTGCCACAAGAGAGTGATGCTAAGTTATGCCAACATGACTACAAACAAGCATTTCATAACTGGCAGCAGCAAATATCGAAATAAAAACCTTGGAATACTCACTAAAACAACAACCCGCAAGGTTAGGTTACTATTCAACCAGCTCAGTAAGTAAGAGTAAAGGTTAAGCAAGTATCTTGAAAGAGATAAATCAATAGCTTTCCGCTGTGAAGAAGCTCGTACAGAGTCTAGAAAATAAGAAGCAAATAGAGAATGATGATAAAAATTGTAGAGAAAGGATAAAATTAGCCTGGCTAAATCTGGTTTGACTCAGGTCCAATTTTTCCTTCAAGAATGGATGCTCTCCGAAAACCTTAATCAATGGTGTTAGGCTGACAGAGAAAAGTATCTGTTTGAAAGCGTGAAATAACTAGAATATTTAAGCAGTACAGCCGGTTAAAGCTAATAATGTACATGGTTAGGTGGTATGAAATCATGCAAAGTGGCATCAAGATGGTCAGTCCTTCACAGGCAAGTTCGCTGATCCACAACAATATTATACTAAAGGAAAAGTAAAGTTCATAAAAAATTTGTCCCATAGAATGATATAAGGTAGCCTCGGCGATAAGATAATGGTAAAAGTTTGTAAAAGCTCAACTGACAGTCCACTGTCAGTTTGAAAGCAGAATCATAATAACAAAATGTAAGTAAAAGTAGCAGGGTGTGATGGTGGACATGACATCCATCATGGGCAATCGAAAGAAGCTATGGGTAAAAAGCAAAGTTGAAGCTCAACTGTGAGGTTCTAATAGAAAACCGAAGAGCTGTGAATACTGATATTTACCGAATTTAAAGCTGAAGTTCATTCGGTCATTCGATGCCGGAATTACGAGCACACAACACAAATTTCGGGGATTGAACTTGACTCCACAATTTTGAGGTTGAGTGGCCGCAAGGAACGAACGGTGTTGCCAAACCGGCGTCTAGACTTGAAAAATTTGCTAAGATTGATAGAACTTCTCGCACACTCTTCGCAAGTACTCATTATTCGCTTGGTATTTTCTTCAGAAAATTATTTCCTCATCCCTAAACTATAAATTCCTCAAGCGTCAAGAGCTGTAATTTTTTGAAATGCTTTACGACTTGTTTACGACCTTTGCGACTCGAAAATCATTCATAATGGCAACTTTGCGTGAAGCTCGCTGCCGATTGGCTGCCGACGCCGGCACGGCGGTGGCGCCAGCACCGCGTTAATTCAAAAAATTTGGGGAAAATTGAAATCAATGATTGCACTCCGTTCATTCACCATTTTGAAGAAGGAGGACCCCTACTTTTTAAATTTGTTAAATTCTGTAATACACTATTTTGATCTCTCTTCTAAGGTGTTAATGGCTCAGATGTTAAAAGCACCAAATAAACGTGTCTATACCAACCAACCACACATTTTCTCCATCATGGTTAATTAAGAGTTAATTGCGTGAGGCATTTTGACCAACTCTTTCACCACCCTTCTTTTAACACCTCTCTCTTCTCTCCCTGTATAAGACACCCATAAGGCAACCTCTTATGCAACAATTAATCTGACAACGCAGCACAGGAACCATCCCTACAGCACTTGTGCCCGTGTTGACACTTGGCGCTTAGATGTCAAAAATTAACGAGTGATTAATTTTTGAGGGGGTGTGTTGGCGCAGTATCGTCAAGCGTCAGCTGTTTTAAAGTTTTGTTTTTCCAGTTCCCTTTTTGGATCTCTTTTCTAGTTTAGTTCTAAAATTTTCTTTTATCAAGTAAAGATAATTTTCAGGCTTTCTATTTAGACAAATCGATGGTCAAAGTTCAAAACACGTACCTCCAGAGCAGTGTTTCAAAATCGCCGCTCCATCTATATGATTTTTTTAAGAGAAATACGCTAACTTCACAGCTTGAAACTCAAGCAGAGCATTCTATTAAAAGAGAAGAAATATTGATGGAGTTTTTAAGGAATTATATTGACTAGTTTTTTTGGAAAAAGTAAAGTATGACAGGAAGTCTGTGACGTTGCAAATGGAGATACATGGGTCCGCACTTTGACCATCGAAATGTGTGTTCTGATTACCTTCAGGGTTACATATTCAAAGTTAAAAAGAAAAGGGAAGATAATTCCGGAATGCTCGGCCATGACTTACTAGCAATGTAGCCTGGCAAGACAGAGAGTTCATTTTGTGACACTAATTCAAAGACTTCATTACTTCTGGCTTTGATCTTCCTTCAGAGAGATGTGGATCTGTGGCACTATTACACGCTGTCACTTACAGTATTAGACTATTCAGGCTGCATTTTTAGAGTTTTTCCCATTATTTTATGGAACTCTCTATTAACTTCTTTCTCCTAAAAACTCCAATCTTTTCGCTGACGAAAGAATGGAAACGAAAAATATTGATTAGTGACTATCATGAGTTTTTCATTTAAAGTGAGGAGTCCTTAAGGCCATACTTGGGCACTTAAAAAAATGATTTAACGGGGCAGAAAATACCTGCTCTAGTTGACCATGATACACATGACAGGAGGCATGGTGAGCAATTTAAGGAAATTTGCAAAAAGTGTTATACCTCTCTCAGAAACTTGGTAAATTTAGTCCAGCATTGAAAAATTTGGTTAGGAGGAAAGAGGGCCGGAGGAAAGAGGGCCATCTTGAAACTTTCTGCACCCTTGAAACGGTTGATCTAAATCAATTTAAGAATTGTTTATTTTAACAGAGATAAAAAAAATTGGACTTGTTGGTTCTTCCGGATCGAAACCGAATTATTTTCAATGATGCTGTAATTAAAACTTCTGGTTGATAGGTTGCCCAGCGGTGTCAAGAATTTATTTACAAAAATTCACAAGAAGTGAGGTGCCACTCTTTCTACACAATCTCATGGAGGAACAAAAATTTTCAAACTAATAAATACTTGGAATCGTCAAGGCTGGAAATTAGAGCAAGTGAAAATTTAAAAGGCATGTATTCAGGTTGCTGATTACTATTCTACATAGAAGATCGGGATTATTTTCTTCATGGAGTCTTTATTCAGTCTTGAGACTTGATGAATGTGAAAATGGATTCGTAATGATTGCTACTGTGGTTCTAATGTTATCATAAGATGTCACGCTTGTCATATAGACCGTGAAACTGGAAGAACTTGGAATTCGCACAGTGTTTCGATATTTAGGTCATTTTTCTTCTTTTTTTTCAACGACGACTAATCAACATTTCTGCAGGAAATTTTCAGAAAATATTCTTGAAAAGACAAGGAATAATGATGCAAAATTATTCTCTTAGCGATGATCAGTTATTCTTCGAAAAAATATTGCAAACTAAAGTACAAATGGTTTGGTAGTTCCACCGTCTGTCTGTACATGGGTTGATTACACACATTCACCAGAAAAACTGCGCTACTATTGCCAAGTTCTTGATTCTATTAACACAAGCAGAGAAACTTTTTTCTCCTCAGAGCCATATGGATCCCATGTAGCAGAGAGGAATTACCTCGATTACAGTGTTGTAAAAATCTTGCATCTTCATCTAGATCTGAGAAAAAGGCCTAAAGTAAAAACAAAAAATTTGATTTTAAAGGAAAACAAGTCTGTAAATCTCATAGTTGCGCATACATATATTTATTATTTTTGAAGGCATGGAGGAAGTTCAAAAATTATGAAAACACTGTAATCAAACCGCAGTTCCCTTCTGCTAGATGCAATCCATACGTACAACCTTGCATCATGGAAAACGTACAAGGATAGTTTTTTTTTCTTCTTCCACTAAAATTCCACACAAAGCACGGATATGTTCATTACTGGAATCAATAATGTGAAATTGGAATGAGATTTAAGAAATGTTGAGATTTATAATGGAAAAAATCAATAAATAAAATGTACTACGCATGACTATTTCGATGACTCAAATTTCATGAACGATACAGGGAATAAAGTAAACTTATTAGACGGGGTACATATAAATGGTGAAACTGCAGAAATGCATGTCTCAGTTTGTAGCGTTACAAACTTTTTGTCACACTTTATATTGTAAATGGATAAATACAGAACATCCTGTCTTGCAAACTTTCCCTATTTTCCTTCTCTGAATGGCGAATAATCTATGAAAATTTCGAGAAAAGCGTTGGTTTCTTCTCCTTTGATAAAATGAAATGAGAACCAAGATTTTGAAATACTACAAATGAGATACGCAACCCTGCAGTTTCATCATAGATATGTAACTATTGAAAAATTGACATAAATAAAGGAAGTAATACTTCATGATGACCTAGCTACCTCCTACAAATATGTTTTAAAATACAAGCTGATCATTCATATTCAGCTACAAATAGTTGAGTTCAAATAAAAAGTGCAGTTAATAAAGGAACTCCGGTACATTTTATGTCTTTTAGAATTTCAGAGGGAATAATAATAGCCTTCATTAGAAGAACTTATTAACAGGCTTTCCTAAAAATTTCAGAAATTTCTAATACAATATGTGACCGAATCTGTGAAGTGGGACCTTACCTTCCTGGAAAAAGTTGTTCTAACTTTTTGCGAAAGTGAGAAAAAAGAAACTTCAAAAATTTTGCTGCACGCTTGATTCTAAAATTGCAAATATTGAACAAGTTACTGGTCCTGAGGTTCCAAGACCAAAATTCTTAGGTCGATTCAAGTGTTGGCAAAAAGTTACGGAAAATTTTCTCCTGTGCGATAAATTCTCTCTTTGCAGATCCGGCCACATATATTATGTGAACTACATTTTATAATTAGGAACTACAATTTCTTGCCCATCCGTAAATACACTTGTGTTCATTGGGCAACTGACGGTACATTATTGTTCCTGAACTGAGCCAGATATTGTAGTTTCCAATAGCAAAATGCAGTCCACATGATAATACGCTTTACAAAAACACTGATATTTTTAAACAGAATTTTTCGACAGCTCGAGAAGAAAAAAAAGAAAAAAATATATAGTACCTACAGGGACGTCATGATGTCAATGCTGGCTTAAGTACAAGACTGCCCTAGGCAGATGAAAATTCATCAAAGGCTAAAACATACTCCTACAACTGAGTTTTTGCATTTACTTGCGTATCAGTCAGGAACCAAGCTATTTTTAATTATTGCAATTCCAAGGCTCATGCTCGCTCAGCAAATAAAGACATTCTGCCCCTCTTGTAATTAACTTGACCTAAAACGCTGGATTATGCTATATGGGTACTTCGATAAGGATAGGGTTTTTGTAACTAGTTTGCACGATAAAAGATGCACAAAAATTAGCTGCATTGTCAGAAAAAAAGTTAAGAAACACGCATTTCAAAAGGAAAATTTGATCAAATCTAACAGAGGGGAACCAGCGCAATAACAGTGTTGTAAAAATCGTGTATCTTCATTTTTCAGGGTTGTCACAGAATTTAAAAAAGTAATTTCTTTGATATTTCCCTGGCACATATTGTTAAAATTTCTTGACAATTCTCATGGTAGAAAAGACACGATTGGAAACAGTTTTCAGGGAAAATTGGTTATTTCGAGCGATAAACTCACTCTAGAAAGCAAATAAAGGTGACTGAAGAATTCTTCCCTGAGACTTTTGCCATTTTCCCTGACTTTTTAAAATTCCCAGGCTTTTTAGTATTTCCTGATAGTGGCATCTCTAATCTACCTCTAAAAAAATTCCTGGAACAGCAAATAATTTTGGTTTATCCAGCAAAAATTGTTGATGTTAAGAGAAATTATCATGTAAATTTTATTACTGTACATAAATTTGAATTTTATACCTTTTGATGCAAAGAGGAAGATACAAAATTTTGAAAACAATAAAGACGAATGATGCTGGTTCCCTTCTGGTAAATGTGACCCAACTAGAGTGCCTGGCTTGGCAACGTCTCGAAACACGTACCCAAGATTATGTTGAAAATTCTGAGAGAGACTCCTACAAGAGCCTGTTTCGGAAATACTTTTCCTCAGTAATAAGCTGTATAGAAATGATAACATCATTGCAGAAGTGACAAGAGAAAATCAAACAACTATTTAAGCTTTGCCATTGGAGAAAAGGTGAACTTGGGAGTATTAGTTGTCAGCATGTTTTTCAGCTACTTCCCGCAGCTGCTTTTCGAAGACTTTTTTCATATCACAGAAGCCATGCTTGGTTTTGCCAAAGGAGTTAGGACCTGCTGAGGTGGGCGTATCTCTGAAAAAAATAATGTAAATACACAAAACATTAAGCAATGGATGTGCATAAATAAATGTATTCAAAATTGTTAAACCCCTCTCTCAAACACAGATGAACCTGTATTACTTGAGTCTTGTTTTAGTTTTAGTTTTTTACGAAGCTAGTTTTTTGTTTTCATTTTTTTTCTTCTCATATGGTTGACAGGTTTACTGCGCCCTTTATTTGGATCTCTCGTTAAGATTACCTTCAAGTCACTTCTATTTTCAGATAAAATCCCAAGAAAATGTACACTGAAAACACAAATTTTTGCAGCTATCAGCTTGAGCTAAGTATGATGAATAATTCTAATACAGAGAATTTAACTTACCGGCCAAAATTTCTCATCCGCATCCTTGCTTCTCGGGGCATTTCTTCGGGTTCTTCTTCTTCATCATTGAAAACAGCAGCCACCGATTTTGAGGGAGTCTTTAAAGTTGTAGTAGTTGACGAGAGGTTTTTCTGAAAATGAAGAAAACACATGCTTCAAAAAACTAAGAAATATGACCTACCAAAATGCTGAAGACTATGAAATATCTTCCTATAATTTCAACTTTTGTCTGTACATTCCCTTTAGGATCAAAGAGATTTTCGAGAGAGACAAAAAGTAAAATATCAAAATATGTCTGGAGCCACTTTTGACCTTAACTGAATCATTACTTATGGCATGAGTGCATGCAAAGTTCGATAAAAGCAGACAGCTATTGCTATGCAATTTTTTACAGTTAAGATGTTATGAATATTTTTAGGGCCTTTCCAACCCAACAGCTTACAGCAAAGCATGTCTCAGAAAATTGTACTCGCTTCATGTTCAGGAAGCGGTGCTTTGTGTGAAGCAACTCAAATGTGGTTAAACTTTCCAATAAGATCAGCTTCAAGTTTCAGTTGAGATGACTCAATTTAGGTATTAAAATTTTCATGGAGGGACTCCCCAGCAGGCCTCCTTGAAACCCTAAATCCCCCTTTCGAACTGGTAGAGTCCCTCAGAACCCCCTTTAGTGGGGTGTCTTCCAGTGCCCTAGACCCTCCTTAATAAGGTGCCTTTCTGCCCCCCTCCACAAAAAGTTCCCTAAGTCCCACCCATGTGATCGAACCAATAGATAAAAATAATAGATTATTAAACATTACAACAGAGGAAACTTACTTGAGCTTTGAGATTAATGCTAATTGGCTTGATATTGGACTTCTTTTTCATGAGATCAAAAGATATTGGTTTGGACCCAGCTTCGGTTTTGAGCTTTTGTGGATGAACCTCCTCATTTTTTTCATCGTCCGGCTCGATACTGAGGCTTCGTTTCTTGGTAACTCCTGAATATGAAAAACTGGCAGACGTCAGAAATGGAAATATAATAAACTTCAACATGATACAAATGAGGTATTTGTGATGTATAAAATATTATTGATATATCCTTATACTCATAGGTAAACTTGGAAACCACAAATGTCAGTCTGTGACAATACTTACTAACTTCCCATTATAATTAATTTCTTCCCTGGAGAACTGATCCAGAAATTTCCTGAAAAAATATGTACATATTTCTCTGTTTCAAGAATATTTGTGCAAATTTCAAGCAATAAAGTTAACTTATTTCTTTTCAGAAGATTAAAGTAGAGAATATTGAGACACCATGATCAAGACTCGTACCATTTGCATTCAGTTAGTGATATGCTTCTCCATATATCTAAAAAATTAAAAGATCGATGCTTATTTCATTCATTTCCTTTAAATCTGCTGTTCCTTTGGAGATAAATTCACAAGTGATAACCAATTATTTCGGGTCTGCGAGAAATATGTATTCATTTAGATACAAATGTGGCACAGGCAAAGTAAAATACCAGTTCAATGACTTCACTTTAAAACCACAAATCTGTATGTAAATTTTTTTTTATATAAAGTACCGTACATATTTCATATTCAAGCAGGAAAAAAATTAACATACCTAAACACTTGAAATTTTTACAAGGTCACTAAAATACGGTGAGGACAAGCTAGATATATTACGCCTTACTAGATTTTGATTCATTTTCATTTTTTTAAAAAAAATCGTACATATAGAAAGTTTGAAACGATACAATTTGAATACTTTCTTATGGAGTTCCGCAATGAAGGTGTCCTTCAACAGATTCTTGGTTTGTTTTCTGAGAGCAAGGACATAGAATGTGAAACATGACAGAGTGTTATAAAGTATCGACTGTTTTCTTTGCAATTCATACTATGGCAAGTGCCTCAGTTGCCGCTTAAATAGAAATGAGACTCTGACTAAGCTAAGTCATTGCTGCCTTACTTCAGTGCCTGATACGCTTCCAAAATGACGAGGAAAAAAGTATTAGCACAAAATAGCCAAACAGATCTACTTGCATACATTTTGCGGGAAAAGTGTTCTATATCTACCATTGGATATCGTCTGGCCAAGTTGACACTTGTGTTCAACTTATGCCATAGCTTGGGCAAAGATATAACCCGAGCCCAGGCTCCTGAGCCACCTTTCCTGAAGGGGATGCGCTTTATCTTAGAACACTTGGTGTAAAATAAATCCGTAATGCTAACGTGCAATAGATAGAGTAAATAAAAAATGAACCTGTGTCAAGTTTCTCCATGATGCACACTGCGTTAAAATTTAGAACATGTACCACTGCATTACAAGAATCACACCCTGATGATCTGACAAAAGTTTTCAAAATTTTAGAAGCGATGAGACTTTGAACGATTGAACTTGAACAAATCAAAACAAAAATTAAAACTTGAATTGAAGAACCTGGAGGAAGATTCAAGTTCTCTCAGATTTTTTTTATTTACGTTTGAATTTATTTGGAGGTTAGAAATTGTCAGATGATGTTTTTGAAAAAAATGTATTTTTGGGACGGGTAGTACAGCATTGTTTTGGTAAACATACTGCTGTTGATAAGAAATGGCAGAAATCGAAAAGTTCAGTTTTCCTTTTCTCAAGTTGAAAATTATTCCATAAGTTTTCCTTGAAAGCAGTGAAAAATTAATGTTCCCCTAGTCTCCAGCCGTTTGTATAAGAAGTTTTTGGCATTTTTTGGTTTATGGCGACGACTGGGACTCTAGCGACGACCGACGGAAGGTTATGTTGTCGTGTCAACCTGTTGATAACGTGAACCATACCACCATATGGGCGTATGGGATGGGAAAGTTTTCAGATTGATAGAATGATATTCGACAATAATCCAGAGTTTAAATTTTTTAATGATTAATGTGATTTTTTCCATTTTTTATTTCCATTCAAAGTGCATCTTCCTCCAGTAGTTTTGATTAAATCAGCAAATCTCTTGGCGTAATCAAACATCCTTCCCTCCGCTCAAAATTTTTGCTTTAACTCCTCAGCACCAAAGTGCCATGGGAGCAACACATAATAATTTTAGAAGATTTTCTTCTAGATTTTATCGTCTGAGGCTATTCTTTATTCAAGAGTTTACCAGTCCGCATTGACAGTCTTTCAAGCTCAAGTATCGTCGTCAGATCGTTCCTCGATCAAGTCAAAACTACTCATCTCAATCCTCATTCTAGTCCACCAGTCAAATCTTAACTATGGAGTACTATGGCCTCAAATATTCTAGTCGCGCCCTCCTCATCTATTGTTTTTCGTGTAAGTCTTCCATATTTTTCGGTGGTATTTTATTATTCATCTTGCTGCCCAGAGATCTTTTATGAGCAACTACCAAATTTTCTTTGAAGAGGTCAAGTATTTTTATGCATGTCTGACAAACAGGGAATCACTTACTTAACCCATTTGCCTTATATAACAAGTTTACTCGTCAGCCCGCGCCTAGGATGTATCTCAGCTGACAAGTTAACTTGCGCTATCTGTCGGTGTTGAGACGAATGAGATGCCATCTATCGGAAAAGCGAAAAAACATGACCAAAATAATTGCGTAGCAATGCCAATGGATGCCGCAAATTAATTTGTCAACTGAGATACGTCCCCCGCACACTTTCTCGAGTATACTCGTCAAATGAGGTGAATGGGTTAAACCAAGCCTGTACCTCCAATGCATTCTAGATGAAGAGTAGGGTCAACTGTCCAACTGGATTCATGCCAGATAATGCGAGACAACTGACATGTCTCTAGTGAAAAAGGACACGCGCTAATTATGGCCCCATTTTTGGCAAATAATACAGGTTCTCAAATCATCATCTAAAAATGTATCTTCATAGGTTGATCCAAATATCTTAATTGTAATACATTTATAATGAATTACATAGATCAGATTTCCTTACCTATGTACTTAATGAATAAATGATTCCGTAAGACGAGCATTTAAAGCAATGTTTTCTTCCAGTTATCTTCCAGCATATCGTCACCTTCCAGGCAAAGTATCACAAGCGCCATGCAACGTTTAAAAATTTCCGCTGCCATTTTATTTTTTTACTGAGAAATTGTTGGTCGAATCTGTTTGGAAATTTCACTAAATTTTATCGGCAGCACAAAGAAAATTCAGTGAAATTTTCGGACAGCTTCGTTGAACAATTTCTCTGTAAAAAAATAAAATGGCGGCGGAAATTTTTAAACGTCGCATGGCGCTTGTGATACTGTGCCTGGAAGGTGACGATATGAGGAACTATGTTTGCCCCTATTTTGGAGATTTCTTGCAATGTCTTATCCTTTTTCTTGTAAGAAAATCTGGAGTTGTCTGCAGTTACGCCTTGCAAATACACTTCAAGCTGTCCCGGTGTAGTGTAGATTGTCCTGACCCAGTTGCTATGTGGAACAGCCCCTAAATTCTGGTTATTACTGTCATAGAGATTTAACATCAATGACCAGTAAAGGCCCAAAATGTCTAATAACTGTCTACATTTTTGAGAGTAGGTAACAGTTTTACAAACATTTCTCTTTTAAGAAATTTATTCTAAGAGTGTTTAAATATTCTTTACTTAAATTGTATCTCTTGTAAATTTTACTTAAAAAGTACTCAAAAAGGGTTGCTTAAAACAACCATTTTCACAGTTGTTTCCATAATGTAATGAATTTTAACTCTCAAAACGATTGGCATATTCCCCAGATTCTTAACCCCAGATGATTTAATCCTGTTTTGATTATTTCTGATTTCAGTCTTGTTGTTTTCGAAATGCAAAGCCCATAAGCTCTCTGCAGATATTTCAGAAAATGGAATTTCAGGAAGAGTCGTCTTCATGCACGACAATGTTGATAATATCATAAGGATTGAATCCACCATTTCAGAAAAAAATTCCGAGCTGGATGCATCAACCAAATGGTCATGGAGTATTCGTGCGTACCCTGTTGATTACAGACGTTTGAGTGGGAGGTGTAGTTCCCAATATCTTGGAAATGAGTTAGTACTTGCCAAATTTTGCCATTATTTTTTTCATATTTTTTTCTGTGAAATATCCTGCATTTTGATGTTCTTCTGTCAATCTGACGTAAAATTTCAATAACCGACCCATAGAACAATACTTGATTGACATTTTCATCTTGATATTCTCTGCATTACCAAAACACCTAATCTTGAAGCTCCCTGTGATTGAAGCCAAGGTCTTGTACATTTGGCACAGCTTCGAAAAATAAATTAATTTAAATGAAGGCTTAGTGTGGAATTTTGTTCCAAAATTACAACCCGTGAAAACTGCTGCCTAAGTATATTGAATCATTAGGTTTAAAGTTTAGACTTGGGATATGGACCGAGCTAAAGAGGAACGTATCAAGTTGCTCAAGTTTGAACGGAGACAAAGAGGTTTGAAGTTTCATTTCTCCATGAGGCTCAGTGTTGAAGACTTCAACAACTATTTTCTCACTCAAAATATTTTTCTCATTTCAGAATTTTTGGCAGGAGACAGTTTTTGACCGGTTTTGCCCAATTAGGTACTCCTAATTCATTTTTTCCCCCTATATATGCTATCTCTGTTAAATTTGGCCCTTATACTTTGACCTCAAACCAAACCAATAGAACCTGTTGATGTCATATTTAAGGCACTATATTGGTACAGTAAAATTGTTTTGATGGTATGTTGAAATTTATTCTTTGCTTTTTGTATTTGTAGAATCATCAATTTGAACAATCTATTCCCACAATCTCCAGTAAATTCTACACCTGTATATCTATCTGTAGCATCTAACATATTACCACTTCTTGGAGAGCAAGGAATATGGGGCAGGTCATTGCTATTACGTTCTAACGATGGCCGAGTGGCGTGTGCTACTATTGTACGTATTTCTTTATCATCTGTTGTTTAAACTGCTATTGAAATTTTTTTTGGTTCATCCTCTGAAAATACGTTTCTAGATTTGAACTGGCACTAAATTACCAGTTCAGTGAGGTAAGTAAGATAAGAGTCTAAGTACTTTTTACCAGAGATAAAGGAAACACTTAAATCTGGTTCAAGCAACCGTTTGCTTGCCTTTGTACTTCATGCAATGTATAAACTTCCGAAAGTAATAATAGAAGAAGGAGAAAAAAGGTAAATGGTTTAAATTTAAATGGTGAAAGTTTAAGAATATGACCTACAGTAGCGATATTTCAAAATTTCCAACATATCTTCTCTTTGAATAGTAATAACTAAACATTTTTGCGTGGAATTTCCGAAGAATGATCTTGAAAAAGCAGAGAAAACTCATACAGTTCTTATAAATCATTTATAAATCACATTCTTACCATTGTGTATGATGGTTTTTGATTTTTATTTGGGCTACACTAACGAATTTGAAGTAAATACATATCCTTAAAGTAAAATGTTTTCAGTTAATGAAGTCTGAGCTCTCTGAACTGAAGTGAAAACAACAACATAAGTATCTAATTTTTTTCTTCTTTTTTTATGTCAATCTCATCATTGAAACAGCAGGGATTTTTATTAGCCATAGGTATTTTTAAGTTTTTGATTATGTTAAACATTTGATTACGCCCTCTTTTAATGCATGCCCATTTCGAGTGGATGTAATTTTGTAGAAATAACTTGAGTTAAATTGAGAATCACAAAGTTAGTCTTACATTTTATTGAGTCGAGTTTGATCTGATGTGGATGCCAAGAGAAAATTCTTTGATGATTCACAGATTGTAATTTTCAAAACGCAAAATTTCATGGGTATTGATCATTCATTAATTCTAGGTCAGTCATCAAGAAGGCAACTTGGAGGTGGCATCTGCAAAATTCACATCCTCGGTCATTGGATCCGTTTATTTTTACTGGTTAGGTATAACTGGGTCCTTTTATGATGCATTTATCTACGCTGACTTGGTGTCAGCTAAAAAACAAGAGCCCCTGTCATTACACAAGTGGAAAATTTTTGTTACGGACATCCTGGACTCAGAAGCAGGTAAAATTCAATTTCATATTATTCAAGTGTAGACGGCTGTAAGAGACTCTTAAATATTTTATAATTCCTCAGGTTATCATTAGAAATCAAATGACGTCAGCTGAGGCCAAATTTCTTCAGGAATTGATTTCTTGCAAGAGAACAGCTCTACTGATTTTTTTAAATATATCTGGGGATTTGCTCTGTTGCATGAAGCAAAATCCCTGAAATGCTCAAGTTTACTGATGCAACTGTTTTCTTGTAAGTATAATGTAATTTACTAATGAAATTTGGCAACAGTTGCTGTCACTTGGTTTGCTTCCACAAAACGATGCTCTGACAATGGCAGCCTCTGGATATGGCAAAGATCTCCGGCACTCCATCCATTTCTATTCAAAAATATTCTCCAAAATTGTGCTGTCTGGTGAACCAGTGTTAATGTTCCATCTCAAAAATTTCTGTAAGAATTGACTGTAAAGGGATACATTTGCTCCATTTCTGTCGCTGTTTTTCAGGTCCATCTTAGTTTTGCTTTCAACTAAAATGCTTTGACCGAAAAATCAAAACCTTTTTTGTTTTTTAGATAAAGCTCGAGAATCATGTGACTCACTGCAAATAATATATTCATCAGCAAGTGGATCCGGAGATTTAGACACAAAACTGGGCCCCATTCCGGTTGGAGCACCTGTGATGTTCCGTGATCCGACAATCAGTAGACTTGACCTACATAAACAACAACATAGCTTCTACTTAGTAATTTATGATCACATTCATACTGGCAGCTACTTGACTTGTGCTAAAATAAATCTGCTAAAACCCATCACTTTGAAGTAAGTATCTAGAAATTTTGATGCCATCAGTCAGATTATCAATTAACGTACATCAGAATATAACCAATCATTAATTTTATTCATTAATGCAAAAATAATTCAAAATGATGCCATTTTAAGTTAAGTAGAATAAGATTACTTGATTCAGCATGTAGATACCAAGGCAAAGTGTAAAACGACGTATCTCTATAGCGTTGTTTCAAAATTTCCACTCCTATTTTATTTTTTCAAGGAGGAACAAGCCAACTTCTATAACTTGAAATTTATTGCAGTGTTTCCTTTCATTTTGTAATGCTTTTTACAATGTTTCTAATACTGCGTTTTTCTAATTCCTCCCCTTCATCTACTTAAGGTCTCTAATCAGTCACGCTGGGAAACGCGGAGAAGTGGTTTTGCATCAACAGTCTCCATTCGACCCAACTCTAATCAAAGTGAACCTGTCATTGAACTCAGATCCTGCTTTCGGTGGATTTCGAATTCATTCCTCTCCTGCCTATCCTGCCTCGGTTGCTAGCTCAAAATCACTTCAGTGCCTTGGCAGTCAAGATGTTTTTAATCCAACGGACAAAAAAATAAAAGATGAAGCGTTGGCTTATGGTAAATTTCCAAAAATAAACACAAAATATTTAGCTTGGTTTCTACTACTTGTTTTCCTTAGTTCACTCTGTGATAAGCATTGTGCAAAAATAATATTTTTCACCCTGCTCCCCCCCCCCCAGAAGTTCTCCAAACTTTGTCTGTTGATGACTCATACTTCGGCCTTCTTATCCCAAATTTTCAGATGCCCCTAAAAAATTTTGGGGGACAATAGGGGAAGGGACTATAGTCAAAATTTCTACAACTCATATCTTCAAACCGAAAGATAGAAAAATTTGATTTTCATCAAAAATTGCTGAAACTGTCCTGAATTATCCAAGATACGCTTCTCACAATTCACATAAGGAAATCTGTTATCCTCTAGAAGATTACTTCATCGAAAATCAATGGAAAACAGCAGAAAACAGCTCCGAAACTTTGTTGACATCTCTGAAGAACTTGCTATGGACACCTTCCTCTTAACTATTCGTAAAAACCCATTCTCTGCGCATTTTTTCTCATGAAATTGAAGTATTATTTTTTCTTCTTCTTCATATTCTATTTTTTAAAATCCGTTCACAGGTGCAGGAACTCAAAATGAATATGCTGTAGGTGACTTGAGTGGGAAGGTCGGATATGAAGATGGAACCTTTTGGGATGTCTTTCTTCCGTTATCTGGTCAACATAGTGTTGTGCATCGTTCCTTGGCCCTGTACAGGTAATTCAAGTTTCCTCACACAATGATTTTGCGCACTATCTTGCTGAAACTCTGAAAAAGTCAATTATTTGGAAACATGAGCAGCTATGGTGGGCATCTGATATTCAGATTGTTAATCTAATCATATTCATACCTCAATCCAATCTAGATTTTTAACCTTATGCATTATCATGTGTTGACTGTAAAGTTTAATTAACTGGTTTTTCCAATCAATTTAGTCTAAGTTTTGTTATAGTATGTAAATTTTGTTGCTATAGTCCAGCAGATACTGAGACTAGGCTCATTTATACTGAGACTTTTAGTTAAAATTTTTGGTGGCTCCAAACAAATGTCAAAATTGTTTATGATTTATTTGGGAATTAAAATTATAGATTGATCGATAACATCGGTAAGTAAAAAATATGTCCCATTAATTTTACAGTAACCGCTTTTAAGTTGAAATGGCAATCTGGACGTAATTGAACGGCTTTAGAATGTTTGGATGTAAAAGGATTTCCATCTTAGACGAGACATTTATGAACAGCTGTGTTATTGCTTCAAGTCTGATGCGCCCAAATGAAGTAAAATCTTGTTGAATGGGTGGACAGGTGCCAATTCTGTCCAAAACTGCTGAATTCTCTTGAAAAATCCATTTGACTCTGCAATGCAGTGTATATTGTTGAATAAATAGAGCAAAGGTCATGTCAATTCCATCAAGAAATTTAATGGTGGCTCTACGTTTTGATCCAAAAAAAAGTAGAAAAAATTGCTTTCATAAGATTTTCATTTCAAGGTAAATTCAACATATTGAGTTTTCAACAAATGTTTGTCACTTCTAGAAATTCGGCGGATGGATTTGAGGAACCTTGGGCCTGCGGTCTTCTAACTAGATTTGCGGGTATAAACTCCACTCTTAAAGTACCTCTCTCCTCGGCAGAAGTCACTTTTCAATATCCACTAGCAGGGCGAATCATGTTTCGCCAGTCTCTCGATGAACCTCAGGCAGATACTACCATAATTGTTGAGTATTTGGTGCATTCTGATGGCACATCCTTGAACGATACGAAAGACCTCTCTTGGCAAATTCATGAAAATCCACCGGGGAAAGATTTCTATAATTGGACTGCCCGCTGTGTTAGTGCTGGCAAACTGTTCGACCCGCACAAAGTAAGTAAATTATTTCTGATGAAATTGGGTATATTCACTAATGCATTAATGACTCACTTTTTTGTTAACTCATTTTGTAGGTTCCTCTGCTCATTGGTTTTGGATTATAATTTATTCTATTGGTGGTGAAATTACAGAACCCTATTTCTAGTTTTCACAGTATAGAATATTTTGTGTCATACAGCTTTTCAATTTAGGAATACTGATCAATTTCAATTTACCAAATTTTGCATGATTTTGCTTTGCCTGTCTGATGATGTGTATTCTTCAAAAATTTCATGAGAGCTGGAGCTGAAAATATGTATACCATCAAAAACATTTACATTTATAATTATGCTACCCAGTGAAAAACATGAAAGATTACTTTTTCCGATGAAAAGAAAAAAAAAAAAAGTAGAGAGTAATACCTAGTCCTCGTCGTTTTCACATGGTTTTATTCGATAATAATTTCGGAATGTTTTTGTTTTGCTCGTATCACAGCAGCAATCAGTGGGCCCTACAGCCATGTGGCAATTTTAACAAGCGATTGCCTTTTTCTTCTTTTCTTTTTTATTCTCATCACTTCTCAGAAAGTGAGGCCAATTGAAGATTTTGTCGCAAGGCAGAAATTGCTGGATGGTGGTAAACATTCCGCTTTTTGGAACTTTCTGAACCCCTGAAAAAACTTAACAGGAAAACAGTTCCTGTCAGAGGCATTAGTTATGCAAAAACTTCACAAACCTGAGTCCCTTTTGTGAATCGTATTTTTTTCATTTATTTATTTATTACACAATGAACGGGTAGAAACCCAAGATACAACAAGGCAATTAAACAATACAATAAGGTAACGAATTGATACACTAAACATTACAACATTTTATCTTATCAAAAAATTACCACTAATAAGTTTCCAAAGTCCGCCTCCTTGCTAAAAACTTAAAATGCATCAAATCCGGACATTTTTGTAGATCCACTGGAAGATCATTCCAGTACCTAACCATCCTGCACCCATCAGAGAAAAAATGGAAGTTGGTCCTGGAATGAAATTCCATGAATCACCTACCATCCCGTAAAGAATAAGCAACCTCCCTCAACCTAAAACAATCAAGTAATGCAGGAAAAAAATAAAAAAAAAATAGTGCAGAAAATATGTTTCCTTTGAGTTTAACCATTTTTAAAAGAACTATCTGTGCAACTATTAACGCTACATCTGATGGAATGCCTTCTCAATATTTTCAGATCAGTATGTTCAATAAGAAGTCCTTCTGTGCAGCTGGTGATGATCGCAAATATTGTAGTGTAGGTTCCATTTCCACACGGTTGGGGACAATCTCAATCGCTGGTCACAAAGCCAGATCCTTGGACATCAGTCGAACTTTATTTAGCGATGAAAACTTACCTTTAACTGGACATGGAAGTATCATTGGTAGATCTCTTGTCATTTTTGATCCTAATGGACCCAAAGCCAGAGGAGATCGTTTAGCATGTAGCAAGTAAGTTCAAAATAAAAAACAATTCAATTGTGGTTTTTTCTATGTATTTATATCAAGCCGCTACCTCAGCGCACCAGAGCGCTCTGCGACTCCAAATCGCTATCGGAATTGATCCTCCCACAAAGCATCAGGCAAATTACACTGCCTGATTTCCCCCTCCACTCCCTCCCGCCAACCTTTTACTGGACGCCCACGCCGTCTTCTTCCGGGAGGAACCCAATCAAATACCTTTCTGGGCAACCTGCCATCTGCCATTCTCCGCACGAGTCCATACCAAACCAGCTGCCTGGTTTTGATATGGTTTTGTTGTTTTTTCTAATTGGCAATATTGTCAATGGCTCTACTTAGCTGTCACAAGGAATTTCTTTTCGTGAAATTTTCACCCTTCAATCTTTATTCCACTCTCTTAGCATCATCCAAAAAAAATCAGCCTCTACTATGATAGATTTTCATCCAATGAATCATCAGAGAATCAGAAACTCAGCATAGAGACATATTCATCACAGCAAAATATTTCAACCTATATATTTTTAAACATGCAACACTTTCACTGCATTTTGCTTTAAAACTTGTTTTATTATATTCTCAGAGTTGAAAAATTATTTTCTCGACATCTCAGCATGAGAATTTATGGAAGTCATTATTTGCGCTCTCCCTCTTTTCCCCCAAAAGTTTCACAAAATTTAGAGAGTTTCGTCTGCTTTAACCTCTACAGACTACCTCTTAACCGTGAACAGTACCTTCAGACTTTTATCATCACCTTAACAAGTTATTTTTGAATTTATGTATCCCTTTTCTTCCAGGATCATTGCCCTCCACCGAAGGAAAGGTGTTGTTCGAGATTGGTTTGGTAACGGTCACACTAACTCTATCAGTGGTAAAATTGAATTTTTCCAAATGACAGAATATGATACAGTAGATGTTGAAATGGATCTGGAGAATCTCAGTGATAACGGTGGTTACGGAATTCACATTGTAAGTATTTTGGTTTTGTATTAAAATGTATAGGTACACCCAGTCGTCCATTATAAAAATGTAAACTCTGAGCTCCCTCACTTTTTTACACAAAGAATCATTGTTTTGGAGCCTCGTGTACTCTCATATCACACATCATCAGGTTTATCACGACTATCGGACTTTATCAGTTGATTGACAGCTTTATTACTGGAGTCGTAATAAAACTTATGACGGAGAGTGCATGAAGCTCCAAAGAAATTGTTCTTTGTGTTAATGACGACTGGGCGTAACTGAGCCTATTTTTAGAACTCCTTGTTTTAGAGAGATCTATCCTCATCTACATTAAAATTTATATTCTCTCAGAGAAACATGTTCAAACTTAATTATGAAATTAGTATCAGTATCAGTCAATGATTATTTTGAGATTTCATTGCTTTGTATAGGTATTCAAAAAATTGGATGCCTGAGAATTTAGGAACCCTAGTCTCTCTTAGAACAGTTTACAATAGGAACCTCAGTTTCAGTCAAATAGGGTTCTTGCATGTGACAGGGATTTGCGATTCATGTACTTTTTTGTGTGTAACATTTTGTCAAAAACTCTCCGGTGCAAATGATTTTGTCTTAAATGAAGTCCTGAGCTCAAAAGAAATCTTTCAAAATCAAGGCTGTAATGGAGGAGGTCGTTTAAGTTTTGGTAAGAGTCAAACGCTCCATGGATAGATAGGGAGCAAACCGATGATCAAAATGTGAAACAACGTATCTTTGTCTAGGACATTGCAGACTTCATCGCCATACTTTATTTTTTCTTTGAAAAACTACTCTAATTTCTTGAAAATTTCCTAGATTTCTCTTCTCTGTTAGAAAAATATTTTATATTTCTTCTCTGTTAGCAGAATATTCTAGAAAAATTTCAAGTAATAAAATTGCCTTGTTTCTCTTCAATAAAATAAGATTGGAGCAGAAATTTTGAAAATTCTCAATAGAGATATGTAGTTTTGCACTTTGGCTATCGAAATACAATAGGGAAATTGCCACAGCTGCAGCCACACAGATTCGCAATCCCAATATTAATAATCAGACCCTTCAAACATTTTTTTTTTTTTGCCCAATTTTACGCATACTATGCATACATTTACGCAATTTTTTTGTTTTATGAAGGGGGGAATTTTGATTAAAAGTATGAAGGCTGATTGAATCCAGGCGAAGACTTGGAATTTTCTGTACCCCTGATATTTTCTGAGCATAATTTTCAGAACTCTTAAATCTCATTAGTCTATTATCATTATATTATTTCAGGCTCCAGTTGAAGAAGAACTTGAATTCCCATGTGAGGATACAAGCTTAAATAGTCGCTACGACCCCTACAATAGTCTGCAGAATCTGTTGCCCGGATTTGGTACTCCTGATCAGTATGCTGTCGGTGATTTGAGTGGAAAATTTGGTACACTAGACGGGTCATCAATGGCACATCGCAGCTTCAATGATTCAAGCCTCCAAATTTTTGGGCAGCTGAACGTGATCGGAAGATCAGTTGTTATATATACAAGTGTGAAAAAAAAGAGGTAAGGCCTTTCCTCTCTTATCTTTTCGCCTAGTTCCGTCTTCTCTGAATTAGTAAAAAGAGGAGACTGTACGATGGTGATGGGTATGAATTGTTTTCTATGCTGAAATCTTTTTGATTACCGAGGGAAAAGTTTTTGTCTGAATGCCAAGTTTTCACATTAAATTCCTTTGAAAAATATAGTGAATAAGCTTTAATATTCTCTTTGTTTCTTTGTACTTTTAAATTTCTCTCTAAAAGGAATTTCCATTTTTGTCCACTAATATTCCCCTCTTTTCTTCGTCAGCATCCATACGAATCCTGTCTGCAAATGATGAACAGATATCCCTAGCAACCCTCTTGCAATCCTTTTTTTTTGTTCCTAAAATTTTACATCTGTTTCAGGTGGGCCTGTGCCACTATTGAAAGAGGCTATGCCCCCTCAGAAGCAAGAGAGCTTCGAGCAATTGCCTCGTTTCACCATCCAGATGGATTTGCTTGGGGTTACATAAGATTGGTTCGTATTACCTGTGTACCATTGAAAGAACTGGTGATGGGTTTTATGGTGGATGGCTGTTTACAAATGTAAATATTCTGTTTTATCTATGTTTTCTCTCATTTATTCTCTCATATTTTCATGACTAAGTAGTATTCAATCTGCATTATATGCACAGTGAAACTCCCAGATCTCTTATCTCTGTTTGCGAAGTTGCAGACTTCTCGCCATACTTTATTTGTTAAATGGGAAACTACGCAACGTCAATTCTTGAAAACTTCTGTAATTCCAAAATTCTAAAAAAACTCGAAGGAATTATGTTGATTTGTTCTCCTTCGAAATAATGAAGAAGGAAAGATTTTTATGTAACAAAAAGGTGATGCATGGTTTGCAAGTTTCACTGTCGAAATGACATGTGTGAAGGGACCAACAACTCATGGATGATTTTGTGGAATTTATCGATTAAAACATTGAAATAAAGGAAGAAAGTTCAGTGAAATTCACATCAAAATATATGCATTTGCTTTCCTTGTAGTGGATGAAATGTCAGCTGAGATTCTGAGATATGCAATCAAGAAGTGCCTTTTCAGCACCCAAAGCTTCAATTTTAATATTTAAGCCCCTATTGAGAAAAGGTTTGGTCTTTGACTCCATTTGAAGATTTTTCAGCTATACGACTGGTGAATAAAACTGTAACTGTTAGTTCAACAATCTGCCATAGATACACTATTGCTTCATGGTAATCTATAAACATTTTTTCACTAATTATAAGTCCTATGTATAAGGGCTGCTGGTTTTATTCTTCTTAAATGCTGGTCACTGTCCGACAATATTTTATACCATAAAATAAAATCATGTCAGCTTTGTTTTTAACTTACGCTCACTCATTTTTACCTCTGTATCTTATTTAACTGTACTAACTTATACAAATGCCTGCAATAGAGAAATCTTATCTAAACCAAGCCAATTTTGCCTGAACAAAATGCTAAGATTTTTCCGATTCCTTAATTGCATGTGATATATTAACCATCTATTCTCAAACTTTTCTGAGAAATTCAGAAGTTGAAAATAGTTTACATTATGTACATGCATATGCCAAAGGCATGAAGCAGAATATAAAACTTATCTCTGTCTTATTTTCAGACTCAACTGGTCCACAATGACGGAAGCAAAAGCGACACAATCATCGAGGTGAAACTCAGGCATCCTGGTGACAATAACAGGAATGTTGTAAGTTAAAGTTTTTATTCTACATTCCTAACATCATATACACGGTCATAAGGCAAGACTGTAATTCTTAATTCACATTTTTTTTGTAATTTGAATTGAAAGTTTTTGTGCATATTAAATAATTATGTTGCCCCCTCCACTCTGTATGGCTATGGTTCCATTGTTATATTAGAGCATATGGAGATGATTTAACCTGTAAGAGCCTCGCGATTGAAATGAGGGAATTAAACAAATATTTAGAACGAGGAACTTATGAAACGTCTGCATCCAATACCAGAGTACATGTAACAGCTGATCATGTCTGCAGGGCGATTTTTGAAATTTTGTGTTTGACGGGCGGACATTGATGACATAGGTTAAACGGAGAGGAGTGATTGGTCTGCCATGTCTTATCATTGCTTTGTCCTATGTTGGGCAGCATTGACTAATACTATTGGGAACTCATTAGGTACCTTTAACTTGTCGTTAATTCTACCCGACATAGGTATGAGTCTGTCTGGAAAGTATCCAACCTTGTTGATTATCTCGCCGTCAATAGTTGATAAGTCAGAAGTTTACTTTCTCTGAAGGTGGGGTCAAGACCCATAAAACAGTTCGCATTCTGTTTCAATCTGAAGGAAGTTTTACTGTCGCACCCTCACCTGATGTGTATCTATACCGGTTGGAACATCAGCACCAGCTCGCACCATTATTATATTTTCTCTCTTTCTTTTCATGTTCAATTTGCTTGTATTTATAGACAATGAACCACAACTGGGCAATTTACGTGAACCCAGTTGGTGTCGATGCAGCTGTGAAAGTTCTTCATACACGTTGCACTGCGGCTGGATATATTTGGAACCCAGCATTCACTCAGTTGGCTGACCCTCTCAATGTAAGTGCACTTAAAATTAATAGAGACCATCTCAATGGCTAAAGTGTGAAATCATGTATCTCTGTTTGCGATGTTGCTGACCTCCAGTCATACATAATTTTTTTTTTGGAAAACTAGTTAACTTAATTTCTTGAAAACTTCCTTGAGTTTTCTTCTCTACTAACAAAATATTCCGTTGAAATATCAAGCCATACAGTTGCTTTGTTTTTCCTCAAAAAAATAAAATAGGAGCAGAGATTTTGAAACACTGCAGTGGAGTTAAGTGGTTTTGCACTTTAGCAATGACTAAAATGCAAAACCACATAACAAAGCAATTGAATCTACATATCAATATCTGTAGATTCAATTGCCTTGTAAGAAAATTTTCTTAAGGTAGGTTTTTAATAGGTATTTCTCACTCATGAAAGGCATCCAAAAATAGAAGAAATCCTAAAGATCGTAGGGAATAATTTCTTTTTTACTATTTTGAGTTTTGAAGATCACTGATGTTCTCAAGTGTTGTATGGACAATTGTAAAAGAAAAAAACTGTGTTTTAAACAGGTAACTTTTGAATTAAAAATGCTATTGAGCTTAATGCTTATGCTTAAGTAGCAGAAAACCTAAATTTTCAGAATTCTCTCTCCTTTTAATTGTGCCTTGATAAAGGTGGATGACCGCGTGCATTGTGTTTTTTGAGGGGCAATATCTCTGTTAACACAATGACGTGAGAATGGTGAGAACTTGATGTTTGGACTGATCTCATTACTTTTTGCTGATCCATTCTCTGAAATCATCAAAAATAAGATTCTGTGACTGAGGCAACTGATCAATTGTGAAGTCTGTGCAACTCGGTCCATGGAGTCCAGTACCTTTGTTCTCGAATCTTTTTCCTTATCAAGATTTTGACTCCCGTTTATATCTTGGTCCTGATCGTTGACAATCAGAGCCAAAAAGTAAAAGTTAGTTAAAATCTTGATGCTTGAATCAACCCAATAAAGTAATGATACCTGGCAACTTTTTTTTCTTTTTTTTTTGGTGACATATTTTGTAAAATTAAAAATAAATAAAACACTTATTTTATGATCAAAAAATTTAAGCTGGAGCTCAAGAAAAGTAAAACCTAATTCAAGCCCAGGAGTATGAAATTGTTGACATAATAGTATGGATTTCTTCACTAAAAGTTTCATTCTTTTTTTGAGAACAACTGGATCAGTGTCAAAGCATGTTTCCATCTGAAGATCAACTTGATCCAGTAAGCCTCATGACAAAAAAAGAGAATGAGTTATATCATTTTTATCATTGTCATAGCTGTTTTAAAAAAGCGCAGTATTCAATGTCAGTTTAAATATCTCTCATAATTTGGTCCATAATAATCATGGTAATAACTACCTTTACAGAGTCCTCAGAATTAATAGTTTTTACTCTGTTGTAGCGTGACCTGTATAAACAAGAATGTGGACCGACGAATCAGTTACGTTGCTATGTTGGAGATCTGTCTGGTCGCCTGGGTAAAATCGATATCGGACTTGGGAGGAAAGTTTTCACAGATTCAAATTTTCCTCTAGGTAATACCCATTTCTACATTGCTCACTGAACTGAAAGTTATCATTACCTAAAGAAAAAAAAAGATGTTGTCTTTTGACGGTAATTTAATTTTAGAGTAAAATTCACCCTCTTGCTGAAATTTTGTTGAACTGTTTTAACCCTGGTATCTGAATTGGCTCATAGTCATTGTTTGATCATTCATTTTCATTTAAGAGCTCAGGAAATTCAATAAAAAACAAAAACAAGAAAACTTGCACTTGTGTATTGTTTTATTTTCTAAAACAAAGTGGAATTCATTGAAATCGTATCTAGTAGAGGGCATTTGTGTTTTACTTTCTTAAAGGAAACTAACTAACAGTTTTCCTTGAGATTTCATGTGAATTCTCCTTTCCCAAAGTAAAATATTCACAAAAAGTTTGAAGGGATCTTTTGATTGGTTTTGTTTGGGGAAATAAAACATAATTGAAGATTTATGAACTTCGCAATTTTTTACTTCAGCCATCGATATCATGATAATCTCAAAGTGAATTGCCAGACTGACCTTGTTGACTGGCATCTGCACTCTAAAATATTCCAAGACTGTAAAATCATTTTTTTTTTCTACAGAGGGTCCAATTGCCTCTTCCGCAATGGGGAAGTCAATTGTTATTTTGAACAAGGAAGGCGGAGAAGAAAGGTTTGCATGTGCTAACATTGAACCTGACAAAGACATTATTAAGTATGCAAACATTAAGCGAAATCCAAGATTCGATGTGTAAGTACTCCTTTTTCTTTTCAGGGCCCAGCATTTACATTCAGTATGCTCTTTTTATTTTTTTTTTTAATAATCTGCTTTAATGAAGTATATCTGTCGCGTACAGTAGAGCAATTTTTCAAAAAACCATTTTCAAATCATTGATCGAATTTGGATGCAAGGCAATAACTGCTCCCAAATTAAGAAAAATTGCCTCAGCTCTACACTCAGCACCTTACCTCTCCCTTCGATTTTGGAGTTTGTGCTGGTGACAAAGAGTTTTATTACATTCCCCCACTTTTTCTGATACTACCAATTGATCATGATGTCCGTTTGGTCTCCTTTTAAAAAATTAAATAGGAGTGGAAATTTTGAAACACCAAAACCGAAATAAGCATTTTTGCAGTTTTACCGTTGATACAAGAGTCTCTTAAGTCCTAAAGCCAATAATGATCAAGTATGGTCCTAATTACGAGTATGGTCCATAATTACGTCCTAATTACGAGTATGGTCCATAATTACGTATGTATCAATTTTTTCACAAAATGCTTATTTGGTATTTTTTATCTTGATTTTTTTAGGTCTCAGTTTTTGAATGACGTACGCGCTGTGATGGGAATACCTGAATGGTTTCTGACTATTGATCATCGGAAAACAAAGATCCTCCATGATGGAGCCTGTATTCAGTTTCTCTTTCATTTTAAAGGTAACATTGCTTTAAAGATCTACTTTCTGTTTTAATAATTTTCCTGTGAGACAATTTAATTGAAAAACGGCGCTCTGCACTGTTCTATTTGTAGGAAAAATATCCGAAAATTTGTCGCCCACCTTTGTCAGTAACTGAACTGAAAAGAGTCAATGAACTGGATCTCTGACTTGCAAAAACTGAATACTGCATGATAGCCACGACCTTCAATTACTTTTTGAACAAATGCTATAACAAAATTGACATTTCACAATCTGAATGATTACTTTTTCCTCCCTTAAGTGAATGTGGAATGGATGATGCACCAAAATGAAACCAAGAAAATTCAAAGGATTTTGGGATACTTCTTTTTAAGTTTGGATTAAACCAGGATAAGTTATTGGTTTTTTCTGGGAAGGTTATACTCCTCTAAAACCAGGAAATTTCATGGGACAGTGGTTAAAAAGTCAAGAAAAAATTTTCAAGTAGATCTCACTCCTTTTTTTGTTTTTTTACAAAGTGCAATTAATCTATTCTTTCATTACAGGCCCGGATGTAAACAGACTTGAGCAAGATTTTAGTCATCTTCTCAATACTGGTCGTCTCGATGCACCCAGCATACATATTCACGGGTACATAAACACTAATCGGAAAAACACCATAGTTTACCAATCCTGCGGTGTCAAAGACTCCAAAGATGACTTCAAATCAGGTAAAGTTTCCATGCATTCAATTATTCCTTCCAGTTTCATTTACATTAGAGTATGCACAAAGTATGCTAAAGTTGTATTTCTATTCTCTCCAGTTTTCATTTTGTGAAAGAGCTGGATCGTCTTAAAATTAGAGTTTCTGATGGGTGAGTGGCGCATTAAAGAATAGCATATAAATGGTTGCTGCATGTGAATTAACGAAAAAGCCACTATACAAGGTGCAAATTTAGCACTATTATATGTTGTTTCATTAAATTTTCACTTAAAATACAATTTGTGCAACAAAAATTAAAACGTTTAACATCTTGGTCAGGAGTTGATATCAGTAATTTTTGCTGGGCCAATCATGTTTTACATAAAATTTTGTGAAGGCAAAATATTTCATAATGCTTAATTTCGTACCTTGTCCAGTGGTTTATTAGATTTTTTGAAACCCACTTTCCACTTTTAACATCTATAGAGGTATGGTTTCTCTAAAAGGTATGATGATAATATCCTTCACTGTGTCATCGTAAGATTTTTTACTTAGGCTTCATCTATAATGTGCTTTCTTCTCCTTTTCAGGGCCCAAAAATAAGCTGTTCTCATACTCAATAGGCAGGAGTTCAGTTACAATCACCTGTAACTATTTGTTACTGCTTTTAGTTCCTCTTAATTTTTATTGGTTTTAATTAAAATTCTCACAACTGTTTTACAAGTTCAAACAAAACTCACTTTTAATAAGGCATTTCAATCAGTTTAGATAATATTCTAGTTAAAATATTTTTTTTACTTTTATATATTTTCATTTATTATTTACATCTATGTATGCTGTAGAGTGAATCTTTGGCTCTGTCACAATATTATTAGTTATCATCATTCGCTGTATTTGGGTGCCTTTTCAAGTGGCTACTAAGGCTCTATTAAAGACTCTTTGCAGTCTGATGTGTTGCCCTGCAGTCTGATTCTTTAAATTTTATGTTTGTCAACGGAACACGGCACGATTAAGGAGGAACGGAGTCGAGTAATTTGTCGGCTTTTTCAGTCGCCTTCTTTGTCGGGGCTCCTTTAGGTGGATTTGATGACAAAGTATCAGGAATTCAAGAGATGACTTTAGCTTCTAGTTGATTCCAACCGATTTACGCATGACAAAGAAGGAGACTGTTACAGTCAACCAATGACATAACTCCATTCTTCCTCAGTCTTGTCCTTGCAGTAGGTTCAACAATCAGGCTATGTCCACACCTTGAGTGCCAAAAGTAGGCATCAGTTTTGCTTCTGGGACATTAACTTTGCCACAAAATATTAGGCCATAAGAAATATGCCCAGAATAGTCAGTAGCATGCATTTGTCCAGCTCCTTCATGCTTTATGACATAATTACCGACAGCTTGACCAGATTACTTCCACAAGAAAATCCTTCAAAACCATTTGCAGCAGTAGTCGTATAGACTATCTTAGAAGTAGCTCTTACTTCTATTCTCGTGTAATGATCAAAGTAGAAAGAAGTTAATGATAGCTCTCCAATTAATTAGTGAATTTGTGCAATATTTTTTTTTTACAAGCCATTAGGCTCATTAGGTTTTTTGAATACTCATTATTATAGGAAAATCTAGGCAGGTAGTGTAGTGTCTAAATATCTATCAAAAGATAGAATTTTTCGGCTTTTATTTCCCAGCAGAATTTTGTGGGCCCAGCATTATTCTATTATTCTGTTGCAGTATTCAGTCCAAATTTTTATTCCCCCCCCCCTTCCCTATGTCTATCAACAGACAAGGTACTCAATTGAACGTTGCTCTTGGAGTCAGTTTGAAGCGAACTTTATGTGGTTGTTGAGACTCTTGTCTATCAAATAAATTAAATATTTTGGGGTAATGCACTTTTCCTTCATAGAGAGATGATTTTTACTGCTTTAAAGACTACAGTATGTATATCAAAAGCTCACTAGTTTTTAAGAAATCTGATAAAGAGGCAAAATGCAAACAAATTGCTTTGGACCAATTTTTCTGCTGTTGAATTTCCTCTCCTAAGAATTGTTGACAATTTTTTGTGCCTGTTTTGTTATTTGTCATAACTTGGCCTCATTGGAGCCATTCACAGAAGGCACATAGCAGAGTTCGGATTTTTGACCCAAGCATCACATGTCTTATGAGCGGTCCCTTATCATGCATGTATTGTGTTTTTGGTTTTAAAACGTTTCAAAACTAATGGGTGTATTTTTTTTTATTCTTCGACTGTGAAAGTCATAACAAATATGTTTAACACTGCAGAACATAGTGGAAGTTTCAATTTTTAGATAAAAAAATTGAATCAAATCTGTTCAACTTGTAGAAATTCATGAGGAATTGACCGCTTATAAATGTCAAACATTTTTGTCAGTGATGTCCTCATATCACTATTATAGGCGTACGCCTTCCTTTTCTCCTGAGGAGAAGATCACGCTAGGAGAATCTTCCCTGGCTGATATGCTTATGCTACAGATAATACAATAACATTCAGTTATATCTCACTCACTGTTTTTAAGTACTAACTTCTTCTCTTTTTTTGGCTTTTTTGGCCAATTTCTGTCTTGTAATTTTTTTGTCTCTTGACTAAATTTGAACTCAAGAATTTGTTGTCTTTTAATCAATTGATACCTATTTCCCTTTCCCCTCCTCTTTAATATAATTTGAATGGGTAAATGGTGATTTCGTATTATAATGGTACCTCATCATTTTGTATGAATTTCAAAGAATCCAAAATTTTTATAATCTTTGATGGAAAAATTTATTTTTACAGTTGCTCTCTTCATGTACCTACAGCTTTTTAAAACAAAACCTGTCTCATTCCTTTTTCTTTGCTCAAATTGGCGTGTATTATTATAAGAATTTAGGAAAGTTTGTTAATTATTGTGATAATACTCACTGAGCTGAGTCGAATTTTGTTGAATAAATATTTAAGTATTATATCGCAGTTTTGATTGTAGTCTTTTATCTCTCCTCGATCAGCATCCCGATATTTGGATTAGGTACCTACATTTTGCAATATGAAACCACTATCTCTGGCTCTTCCATAAAAGCACCTCTCTGCATAGAGAAACCAATGGCGTATATGTTGTTTCTAAAACGAGGCAAAAATAGTGGTTCCTCATTGCAAAATGTGGTCCATTTATCAAGTGTTAGAGACTAACAGAAACAGACCTTTACTACAACTTATCAGTGATAAAAATAATTTTTAAATTTGGCGCTTATTTCAATCTTAAGATTGCCAAATTTACACTAATTCATGCTTGAACTGATGCTATAATTTCTATAATTAATACATAGCTGAACATTTTTGGACAATTTCAGCATCAAACTTACGGGCTCTCCGCTCTTTTTCTTTTATGTAGAAAACCTGGGACTCTACCGAAATCTCCTAAAACCTACGGGTTTCTGTGACTTTAATTCATAATTTAAGTGTGAAATTTGGTGACAGTGCTGTTATCAATAATAAACTTGGAGGTTATGTTGTGTTGTGTTATCAGACTTGGTGACAGTTTTTTTCTCTATCAAACTATCTTTCTACGAGGAAATAAAAATCTTTGAAACTATTGAGTACGCCTTACGTAATTTAGTCGCTGAGTCTTTGTCTCGAACTATTCTTATTGTGGTTGAGTTCCTCAAATTCATGGGTACCTAAGTGTTTCGCAAGTGTCACAAAATGCTTTCAATATTAAGGAACTCAAGATTTGTCCTCTTCAATCCAGCCGTTCGCCGAGGCTTTGCTAATGAAACGAGCAAGTCACAATCCGAGGGTGATGCTAAAGATGGAGAACCTGAAGCGGCTTGCCAGAAAACAGCAAAGCTCGCCCAAAAACTCCGTGCTAAAACCCCCATCGGTGAGTGCCATCAGCGAGTTCTTATGATTTTATGTTCCTTGTCTCTTATGCATCTATTATTAGGCAAGTTTTTTCATCATAACAATGATTTTAAATTAATTCAAAGGTTCTCTCCTCATAGAGATCCTACGTAAAAATAGGAAGAATCTTAGCCAGAACTCTAACGGTCTGTCTGCTGTCATTGCGTGAAGAAATGTCAACCACCCATTGCGCATGTTAACTTCTAAGTCTGTCTCCTTACCTCAGTTCATATAACATCAAATTTGTAACAAATAGCTTTTTTTTCTAAGTACTGGATTTTATAGTGCATGTACTTAGCATCCTTTTAGCACATATTTTTAACCACACACTCTGTCTTGTTTGCAGGTAAATTGGACGAGTTAGATGAGGGTAAACATCCTTTTCAAGAAAAGGAGCCCTTGCCCCCATTTCCAGACAACATTAATCCAAAGACTGGAGAAGTTGGAGGTCCTAGAGGTCCGGAACCAACTAGATATGGAGACTGGGAGCGAAAAGGAAGAGTAACAGATTTCTAGTCTCTGAACGAAACACCTGTGCTTATTCTAGTTCAATCTTAATCTAGTTCTAATCTCAGACTCCTCTATAATAGCATCATCATACTTCTGAAAAGTCATCATGCCAGCAATTCAGTATTCAGTCATTAAAATGTGTTGTCTTTCTATCATGTCATATTTCTATCAATGGAACAAACATTACTCTATACTCTCTGCTTTGACCCTGAGTCACATTAAAATGCTTGCAAAATAAGACTCACACCGAAGTGTAGTGACGTTGTTTCCGATGGGAGCCAACAAATCTAACTCGGTAGTCTCGTAACTGTTCAACTACATAAAAGCTCCTCATGATTGCCTTCCCTTCATTCACTTGCAGACGACAGTCACTTTAAAAAAAGGGTATAGACTAGCCCCTCTGGCTTCACTGAAATTTCGCAACTTAGCCATTTCACAATTCCAGTACAAATGCCTTTAATTTAAGCGCAGAATATGTAGAAAAGTTGTGCAGGTAAAATTCTTCTGGTTCACTACGAGGAACACCAATAACTGCATAATGTCAGCAACCTCAAATGCATAAATGTGCCCTTTTTTAAATTGGCCATCCAGCCTAAAGGTATGGCATTTATAATGCGCAGGTCAGCAAGCGACCTTGGCGCAAGGATCTGTCAAAGGAGCTCACATGTATTTCCTTTGACAGACCATTGGACTGCCTTCAGTCACAGACTTACCCAATTTTTACGCATCTTAAGAGGCATACCCCAAGTTCCTGTGTAAGTGAAAATTTTCTTTGAATTTAAAATTTTTTTTAGGATTTTTTTAATACAAATAGTTATCAGCATCTGTTTTTTTTCAGCAAGTATATGAGAATAACCTGCTATAGTCCATTTCCAACCAACGTCCTCCGATGGATTCAGTACTTAAATTTATTTTGTGAAATGACGATTTTTAAGAAGGGGATGAATACACACAGCTCGGCAAGTATCCACAACACAATAACGCAAAATGAAATTTTAGCAACATAGCTTTTAAGTCTTTTTCTTTTTTTTCTTTTTCTTTCAGTTATCTGCGTTGCTCTCCGTCCAGATAAACTACTTAAGGAAGAAGTCAAAGTCACTCTTAAAGATTTCAAGTCTAATGTTCACTCAGAAGAGAATTTTGGGTTTTGTTTAACTAATTTGATATCAACAATAAAATTGGAGAAATGCCTATTTCGGTTTGCAGCGTTGCAGACCTCCTGTCATAGTTTGTTATCAACATAGAAACCTTTAAATGTCATTTCTTGAAAATTTAAGCGATTTTTTTTCTCTGTGTGAAGAATATTCTGTGAAAATTTCAAGCCATGCTGTTGATTTTGGGCTCCTTTTGAAAAATCAAATAGAAGCGGAACACTGCAACCCATAAACCCATTTTTACTCTTCACCGTCGATATATGGTAATTGTCAAAACACTTGAAAGCTTATTATACGACAGTCTGTGACATTTTGGCAAAAGAAAAAAAGGTCTGAATTTCTAGTGGACCATCAAGAACTGCTCTTTAAAGATAGGCAATCAATTCATCGTGTTGATCAGTCCTTAAGATATTTTTTACACTACTAATGATGTATTCTTCTCAATTATCAGTAATTCTTGTCCATAAAGAAGGAGTTTAAAGCTAATCTAGGTTTGGTAACTGAGAGGAATTTCAAATTTTCGAAAGTGATGGAATGAGTCAGTAAGGAAAATGATGATGAACATCCACTATCGGCTGTAAACCTTAAAACTGTGATTTCAATTGGACTCAACCCTAAAAATTCATTCTAGCTCGATAACAGCAAAAGATCTGCTCTCAAAATTATGTTTGTCAATTCTTCTCTAGATTTTTATGTTGTAAATAATTTAGTTTCTTTTCACTTGAGCTGTCACTAGGCAATTAATAATTATGTTTATCAGAAACCACTGTTACCTGATCGTTGTTTATTAAAAACTTGATTAAAAAATTATTACACCCAATAAGATGTTTTGAAGTTCTGTGAATGAGCCTTACAACCTTATGAAATGCTTTGAGTCATGATTACTGTGGAGCAATGAGCGTATTAAATAAATGTTCTTTTTTTCGCTTCACCTCTCACAAATAATTGACAGAGACTTCCCGAAGTTACTTATCCAGGAAATTCTTCTGATTTTCCCACTTTCCTCGAAAAATTCCTCATTCTTCGAGGAATATTCAAATTTTACAAAAACATTTCAAATGAATGAAATTTACCAATATTTAGGTTTGTCATTGCATATCTGATGAGTTTCTGTTGCGATCGTAAATTTCCTTGGGAATGTTACTTCAACCACAATCCAATCTTTGAAAGGAATATTTTCAGGGTTCAAAATAACGACAAAAAAATAAAATTTTATGAAAACTTGTTTATTGCGTGTGAAGGAGAGTCCATAAAAATTAAAAAAAAAAAGAAAAAAGAAAAGAAAACCTCTGAAATTAAGTTCTTCGGTAATTAGGTGTTGGCTGGATGAGCTGTAGTCCACTAATGTTGTTGAATTCCTGAGGAAAAAAGAACAAAGAAGATAGCAATTATTATATTGGATAGAAAATAATAGGAAGCTACATGAAGCAAAAACAAGGAAAACATAATTTAATAAAACACACACCACATGCACGTCAAAGCTTTGAAATACATTAAAGCTTTTTGTTGTCTGTGCAGGACGAACATCATCAGCAGAATGTCCAGCAACTAGAAAGTAGCAGGGAATTTCTTTTGTGTTATGAAAGATAAGGAAAGTGTCAGGGAATCTGCAAGATTCGGATCATCAGGAAATTTAATATTGCAAATCAGACTCTCACCAAAAATCAGAGTCTACTAGAGTCAAATCGAGCACTAAACTAAGAAAATTCAATTTGTTTCATTCAATTAGGGGTCCGTTAATATTTAAATCAGTCCAAAAACCAATATTTTCAGTCAGAGCAAATAGCTATTGGTTTTCATGATGACCCAAACGGTAATTGGCAATTTTTGAAACCATTATTTTGCCTTAATGTAGCCGTGGACATGCCTTCTCAGATACAAGAACACCGAGAGTTTTCCATTAAACCTACTCCTTTATTAAAAAATTTCCTGAGTGGTAAAACCGTAATTTTCATGTCAGTATGTACCTGCCTTGCCATTTCCAAAACTAGGTTCCACCACCTTTCCCATTTTGGATGCGGCTGGCCTGATCATGTGGTCAAGAAGTTTCTGCATCCCTGAAATAATAAACTAGACTACTTACGAGCAGTTTCAACATCTCTTTGGTCTCTGGGTCTACTTCGATGACATCTTGTTCAAGGGCAGAGACTTCTGGAACATAGTTGTCTCTCCTTTCTCTCTCCTCTTCTTGCAGCTTGATGGAGATGCCTCGAACTTGGCTGTGCCTCAACCTTTTCATTAGATGAGTGACGAAACTGAAAGAAAGCAAACTCAATATGAGAGCTCAGAAACCGTGAAAACGACTCTGCTGCCAGTTGAGTTCTTTGTGTTCCTTGCATACAAATTCTACAGCTGTGCACGCTTCGTCAAAGTAAACTTAATTGATATCCGATACTTTCATTCATGAGAATGGTCTAAATGGAGGGTTACAATAAGTTTGAATTATGATAACATTCTGTGAACAGATAAATGGACAAAAGATACATGCAAGGCTACTTTGAGCAATACAGGATTACTTTTCCGGAAATAAACGACAAATTTGGGAATGCAAGCACACCTAATGGATATGATGGATTTAAGTGTCAATTTAAATATTGCAGCTTGGCTTCAACGCTGTCCTAGTGTAGAATTGTGGCTAGGGATCTCCTACTTGAAGTAGAATCATGCAGTGGAAAAAGTATAGTTTAAGACATTCTTCACTACTTGAAAGATGAACTTTGTGAATTGAAATGTGAAATTTGCTCAATGCAGCGGTGTGGTAAGTGGGCAAAGATATCTCTACTTATAATTGAAGCCAATAATTGTTCCACTCAAGCCAAACCACTGAGAATCCTTATTTGGTGGCGCATAAAACAAAACTTTTTGAAGTCTTTACTTTCATCCACTAATAGCTGTATGATTACTCAGAACGGGGGAAAGAAAAGAATGGACAAACGGCACATGAGAAAAAGGTGCCATCCAACAGAAAAAGTGCCGACCAATGATTAACCCTTCAATTCCTGAGACAGATTTCTACTCATACTCCCCCACTCAAAGTTAGGAAAGGGAAACCATGCAAAAATGAATCTTCATAGTTTTCTGAATTTTATTAACTAATTTCTCCATCAAATAGCATGAAATTTTGTGTGCAGTCACCAAAAGTGAATTACAAGCACCTGATTTTCTTTTCAAATCAAATACACCAAAAATAATGCCTTTTAAGTTCCAAGACGAGAATTCTCGTCGGAAGGAGCCAAAGGATTCATACGTTCAGGTTAATATAACTTTTGTCCATTCTTAACTTTCCCCCATTCTACTTTCCTAGGTACTCTAATGTGATTACAGTATGCAGACTTACCCAGCAATTTTATTCCTAAGGGGTTTGCTAGGGATGACAGCTATTTCCTCACATATCCTTTTGTTGGTGTGGAAGTCTAATGTTAATTTTGGATAATACTTTTCAATGATTGTCCGAGATGCACGTTTGACGGTTTTCGTCCTGACTCGACCCTGAAAAATAACAATTTGTACGAAGGATTAGAATTCGTTTGGTAATATGATTGGTGCAAAGACAAAGATGAGACCTGAACTGGTACAAAGCGTACCATGCGATAGCAGCAGTTTTGAATTTCCATGGAATGGAATTCACAGCGAGAGCATGTGGCTGTGCTCTACGTAGATGCCTTAAAATCCTTGCAGACCGACAGCTTGTTACATGATTTAGTGACAGTTGCTCTTGATAGAGTAAAATGAATTATTTTAAGTAGGTGAATAATTTTACTTACCATGATTGATTGATTTCAAGCTGTAGCTACGAGCCGAGCACATGGATCACTGACGTTTTGACACAAGACACAAACACTAAAGGCCTAACCTAACCTTAAAAAAAAGTAAGGTGAGTCGTGAACAACAACAATCACCATTACGCGCCATCGACCATCAGCGCCAACTATTTCTTGAAAATTCCCGCGAAATTTCAGTGTTTCATCAGGTTTCATGCTGAAATTGAGGCACTGGATGCAAAAAGGGCAATTCTCAGTTGCATCGCTACAAAGTCTTCTCTAATTATTCATTCATTGTAAGGAAACTGAATGCATCCATTTTACTAAAGATTTTACTGAATATTCCTAATGATTCTAAAATTTTCTATGGAAGAATTCTGGAAAAACCACCCATTAAAGTCGTCTGCAAGGAATTAATTAGCGACAGAGATTCTAAAGCACCGCAATCGAGAAGTCCCCTTTTCGCATCTAGAGCCTCAATTTTGTACAACAGCAAAATAAAATTTCGTGTGAAATTTTCTCAACAAAATAAAACTTCATATAAAATTTTCTCAGCTTTATGAAATTGCATATGAAATTTTCTCAGCAAATAGAAGTTCCATGAAACTTAATTCTGTGAAATTTCATTTTACATCTCTTGAGTACATACCTCTTGCAATGTTCAGCATTATCATTGAACTTGGCAAATATTAGGAGAATCATCTAAATTCGAATTAAAACATGTACCTATTCAATGGGGTGTTCTTTTCACACCCATGCAGATAGCAAGTTCCAACATTTCTTTGAAATGTGTTCCTGCCTGTTATTTCTTTACTTTTAGAAGGAGAGGGTCAAAATTGTTTCAAGAATATTAATTTTAAAATAATATATTTTTTGGAACTTGTAATTTTTAAAGTTTACAACAGTTAAACAACAATAATTTTTTAAACAATAATGCATCAAATAATAACTTGTACAGAAATTCGTGAAAATAACTTCAATTAACGCTATGACATTGGCAACACTATCATTAGCATGTTAATACTTACTCATTGGAACCAAATATCTCAACTGCTGCTTTTTAGTATTTACGTTCATGCTTTAATTTTTCAGAGGGAGATAAGTCAACATCATTCCTGGAAATTTTCAAATAATACATAATATTCTTCAAGCAAGAGGAGAAAATTCACCAAAATTTCCCAGAAATAATTTTGAATGGTTTCCAATTGAGACATTTTTCAGAGGAAGGACGTAGATAACCAATCAAGAATGATACAAGTTTTTGCTGTTTCACCAACAATATTCTGCAGTAAAAGCGTTGTACAATAGAGATGGATATGGATCCTTCTTTCAAAATTGTCATTTCCAATCAAGTTTAGTTGTGAGATAGGTACATGAAATTTTGGCTCATAGTGATCAAAGCGATATGTACCTGAAACCCGATTCTAAAGGTTCAAACGGGTTAACGGCTTTGGAGGTGCAGAATTTTCAAAGGCGTTTTTCTCAAACCACACTTTTTGCTGTATTCCCTTTCATCAAAAATGCCTTAATTAAAAAGTTAATTATCACTAGGTATCTACAACAGCGCAAAGATACATGGTTTTTGAGTTCAACCGTCAATGTACATCATTTGGAGCAATACTTAGCATTCCAATTGAAATAAAAAGATATGAATTGCGAGATAACTCTCCCTGTCTCAATGCAACTTATTTTGGATTCTCCTGGTGAAATTGGATTGCCAAGTTATGCCTGATAAAATACAGTGTTGTATCTTACTACCAGTCTTGATTGCAAATGATCGAAAAATAGTCACAGAGCATAATGCCAGTGTTCTTAAACATAGATGTATCTATTTACAATAATATGGACAAAACATTACATAATAAAGGCAGTAAGAAGTTGAGATCTGCAACCTTGGTCACTGAGAACGGCAAAAACAGAGGTGCCCCATTTCAGTCATTGGACAATTTTAGTTTCTTGATATAATTCTTAAACTGATAACTTCTCTTCATTTCGTTACATGAGACTTTATAAAAGTCCTGATAGAACTGTATTCTCACCTCTTTTTTCCATCTTTTGACCAAATCAGTTGCTGGGGAAATTTCACATGCAAGGGAGAAATTGTTGAAATTGCAATTGAGTAAATGGCATCCAGCATGATGAACGCAATAAACAAAATGGTAATTTCACATTCTTTTGCAAAATTGACGAAAATTTTGTAAAATTGAACAAAATAATAGTTTTGAAAGTCTAATACAAAACCCTTCTGCCAAAAGAAACAGTGAGGGAAAAGAACTGTGGCATAAAGAAAACAGCGATAAAAAAACTAAAACTTCTGATATTGCAGGATTTAGAATCATGTAGAAATTGTGCGGTAAAGAGAAAGACAAAGAAAAGTAGGAAAAATTCATTTCTCCGTAGATAAACCTGTCAATAGTTACTCAGCTGCAAATGAGTGAGCCCTCTAGAAATCTGAGAGTAACATTTCAGAGGAGGTATTTTTATAAATTATAAATTTCCTTCCTGACATTTAGACTTTGAAATTATGAATGGTAAGTTAAAAATATGACAGCAAAGAAAAATTAACAGGTGCCACAAACAAAGTAATTTTCATTAGCATAGCAAAGTTAAGATATAACTTGAGGCAAAATTTATTACATGTTGGTTGGGACCGTACAAACTGGTTAAAATTGTAACTATTTTCATCATTGAGATGAATATATATCATCACCTTTCATCCTGCATGTCCTTGATTTGAGTGCAACAATTAAAAAAACCTGTGGAAAAAGAGGCTAAACCCTTAGAAGCTCGCTGTCTGACAAGTAAGAATAAATTTAATTTAGTTACACTTAAAAGTAAATGATAAGGAAATCGTGATCTTAAAAAATCTATCTAATTAATTTTAGAATTTGGAACTTTGTTAAGAGATTGGATTTACTTCAGAATCATAAAATCTAAGTGGGGAGATACTTTTGCAGAGATGAAGTACGTTTAAAAATAATGAAAACAACTTTTGGAAAAAGCAAGATCATTAATGATTGTCAAATGCAAATTATACAAGGAAAAAGATTTTATCGGCCTTCTGTTCAGAAAAGAACAATGCCTGCAATGAGTAGTGTTCAAAATTACGAATCCTGATAGAGATTTGAGTTGAAAGCTCATAATAAACTCTGATATGAAGTAAACAGATAACTAAAATCTTCAAGCTCATATTTTCAGAAAAAAGAAAGCCAAGGGTTATCTTAGATTACCTACACTGAAAGATATTTGGTAATCAAAGGTTTCTGTAAGAACAAGCTGCATTAGAATGCTTTGAGACCAATCCTAACCTTCGTAAATATTATTATCAAAATAGCCTAAGTCCCTGTAAAGTTCTTGATAATCTAAGGTTAGTAATTTTATTTAGGAATCTATGGATTTCATTACCATACAGTCATTAATCAATGCTACTATCTCCGAAAGTTTTCACCAAATTCTTTTAATGAAGGGTTTGTTTAGACTAATTACACCTGCAGTCAGATTCAGGTTGAAATTCAGACTACATCAGTTCAGGAGTTTCACGCAAAAACAAAGAAAAAATAAAAATAACAACTGAAACAAGAGAAGAATATAGGAAATGCAAAAGCTGAAGCATTCAAACCTCCAGCATTAAGACAATGTTTGAGAACATGATCAAAATTTCACCCTAAGTTTACCAACTATCATCGCTTGACTCACTTCTAAGTCGGAAACTTCGGAAACGAACTAAAATGCTGTCTACAGTGTCATCTTCAGGCGATGAAACAGGTACACTTTCACTGTTTTCTGGGCTGTCACAACCCTCTGCTTCTTGAGATCTCTCTGACGAGTCTCCATTAGATTCGCTAGATTCGGGTAAAGAGCTTGCTTTGACTTCTAAGTCTGCTTCCACTTGGCGCAGTCCTGCGACACCTTTCTTCTGGATTGTTGCTAGGTCTCTTTTGATTTTCCGCCTACGTGAGGGATCATTCTGCCGCACTTGAATCATCGCTTCAAAATCAGCTACGTATATGAACCCAGCTATCAAGAGCTGACACATTTTTTCACCCTTTTGATAGGAATTCTCCAACTCAACGCTTGTTCGTTCATCGTACTGCCACCAACCTGTGAAATAAAAATAGAAAGGCACACTTAGGTAAACTCATCACTTGAAATTTAAAGATATTTCAGGCAATGATGAAACAAACATTTTGTTTGTTTCTCCATTCATAAAAAACACAATGAGATTTTATACTTAAAATGTTTTTTCTTATTATCTGAATAGAACTAAAAGTGGAAGCTGCACGGAGTAATACATCTGTTAAGTCTAGAGTCCGAAGGGAAATCTGGTTTTATTGTTCTATTTTACTTAATTACATAGATAAAAAGACTAAAAGCTCTGTTCCAAAGGGAAATTTAGAAGAGAGGCAAGTGAGGTGATTGCCTCTGCTATTCCAAGAAAACTAAACCAGGGGCCTTAAAACGTCTAGAAATTATGAAATTTCAACTTTTTTTTTCCTTGGAGGATGACAATACTTCCTCTACCTTAGGGGAGCGAGAAAGTAAAAACAGAAGGAAAATCATACAGAAAAAATAATTTTTATCCCAAAAACCATGTGCTGCTTTCCCTGTGTAAGATGGCTTTGGCAACTTGTCTTCATTGGTAACATAATAAATAAAATAAAATAGTAAACAAATTACAAAAACTATGACAAAAACAAGGGATTATATTGGTGATTGTTTGACATTTTTTCGATATGCAAGGCTAATTATGTGTTTCTTCATGGAGTACCTGCTGCCCCTCCTGATATGACTGACACCGTTGTGGAACCATAGCACACAATATTATACTGCAGGACCCTAAAAAAAGTTGGGGACTGATGATGAATGAGCCAATAAAATTTTGTTGTGACAAATTTGTGTCATTTTGTATTAGTTACGGATAGGGTGCCTCCTGGAAGAAGGCTGCAGAGACCTCCCATGAAGGGATGGCGGCAGAGCATTAATAAAGAGATTTTACGACATAAGTTGCCCAAAAACCTTTGGGACAATAAGTACATGCGGCATTTGGGTGTAGCAAAGCGCCAGAGTGCACTATAGGAGCAATGTATATGTACGTAATGAAATTTTAAGCAAATTTTTCTTTGTTTATTTTATTGAGAAGCGCTAATAATTTTATTCAGTTTAGATAAATAGATTTTTTTTTCATGCTCCAGTTCTCACAACTAAAACCCTTGTAGCTAACAATAAAAAAAAAACGTACCATTTTTGCCTTCATAAAACCACTGATAGCCATCCTCAAAGACAGGCTCAATACTTTTGCTCGTATTCGGTGAATTCAGAAGACAAGGCTTATCAAAATAACTCAAAGGAATCTCTTGACGGCACATTGCACAGCATTTGTTCTGGAAAGCGATGCCCTTGACACATAGGAAGCAGAAAACATGGCCGCAGGGAAGAACTGCAGGGTGAATTATTGTTTGCAGACATACCGCGCATTCATTGCCTAAAAAGAAAAAAACGAAAATGTCACGAATAATTGGACTAAAATGCACTGAGGAACTGAGACCTTCATTAAGTTTGATGAAAATACAACCTGCGACCACAATGGTAGTTAGGCAAATTACTGTAAATGTACGGATATTGAACGAGTATCATGTGTACCTTACTGAAAGAGAACCTTCAAAGATTAAATCAGAATAATATTGCCGTGCTAAGGAAAAACGCCATATGAACATTCGTTGGTTGTCAAAGTTCCTCCGGTAAAGAATTTATTTTTGAGGAAAGTTATGAATATTTTTTCCTTGAAATTTTCAGGAACTTCAGATAAAATTGGGGACAAAGGGCTTACCAGAAAATTCATGATTTATAAATTGAAATTTGGCAACACCGGCAGGGTCATATGGCGTTTTTCCTCAGTACGGCAGCATACATATTCTAGTGTTGGAAACTTTCCATCATACTTCATCTATTCTTTGAAAGACTACCTATTCGATATTGTGTGGGCACTTCCATCAAAGGTGAAATTGCAGAAATTTGTAATTTGGAAAACTTGATTTTTCGGGAGGACAAAATAAGAAAGGTAAAAAGATAATAACTTTTGTAAACAGCAACAAAGAGATGCTCTTTAAAACTCTGTACGCACTTCCAAGAATAACTTCAACTACTCACTGGAAATCATGAGAGAAAAATTAAGATACAAATTTTGAGAATTAGATTCTGACACTTTAACCAAAGATACTCAGGGTGATCATTGATGAGTCTATTTCTGACATAAGTTTTCTTGAAAATAAACGCTAAGGTATATCAAAGCTCCAGCTTAAGGACAAAAAAACAAACAAACCTGCAAGATCCTTGAAGACTTGAGTGGTGGAGCCCATGATTCCTTCTTGCGCTCAGAGCTCTAAGGAAATAGCTACTTGATTCATTATCATGGAAGCCAGTACTCAAATTGAGAGGAAAGAGTATCAATCCGGAGTCAGTGATTCTGAAAGAGAAAGACGCCTTGGTGAAAATGAGAGCATAATAAAAACTGTACTTTCATTTCAGTCTATGATAATGTGATGGTTTTAACATTTGCTCTGCGACAAAGAGGTCCGATTTGCGGTAGCAGTGGCATGAGCTTGATAGTCTCCAGCAATGGTCAACTTAGCGTTAGTAATTGAGGCCCAGTCCCAGCTGACCATTGCCTGAGACCATCAAACTCAGGTCACCTGGCTGGGAACTGAACCCAGAACCTCTTTGTGATGGGGCCAGCGCTACAACCACTACACCACAGACAGCCGACGAATGATCTTCTGATGGTGATGGTCTAGTATTAGAGAAAAAAATTTGTGGAGGCACCAGTAGCTTTCAGTTAATGCTGTGTAAGAACTCTTCCTAATCCTTATCCAA